GTGTGGCCCTTGTGTCTCCCCCGCCTCTTCCCGGCCCGTGCGTCTCCCCTCTTGCGTCCCCCTCCCCCTTGCCTCAGAATTTTCATCTGAATCTGCAGACTTGCAGAGGTGAAAATAGTCGAAGTGACTTGTTGGCGAGATATAAAAAGGGTGTTTTGTAAAGGCTGAGCGTGGTGTTAGGTCTAATGGTAGACTTCCAGCCTACGTTTTCTGCTGCGCTTCGTGTTGGCACCTGCTGCTGCTCCATGCCTGTCCAGGGAACTCGTGCCCGTCCGCATGTTTGTCTTGTGCTGGGTGCTTGACTTCGGGGTGGAGGGGCAAAAATGCTGCCGATGGGTAAATAACTTGGGGGTTAAACTCTGGGTACCAGCCCCACATCGGTGATGGTCTGTTACGGTATTGCTCTGAGTTGTTGTTTCTTCATACGAAAAAAAGATAGGAGGTTAGAGCTGCAACCGGTGTGCATATGTGTACACATGCATTTCTTTTCTTGTTTGTTTTTCCCTCCAAGTACAGGCATGTATGTAAAAAGGCCATGTAAAAAGGCCATGTAATGTAAAGAAAAGCAGGAAGAAGGTTCTGAACACAATTCTTAGAATTCATAGAAATGGAAAACTCTTGCAAGAGAAGGACATCTGTTTCTTCTGTGTTGCTGGTAGAAAAAAAAAAGCACAAAAAACTTACTGAAAGAGCTTATAATTCGAAAGTGATTAGGGAGAGATGGATGGTTTATTATTATAGAGGAAAATCTGATTATTATACAAGAAAATATTTTAACCTAAAAACAAATGATCACATGTTTTTGTTGAAACTGAAATCCTATTGAATCCTGCACCACATAGAAATTTGAAATAGTTGTAGATTCCCAGATCTCTTATTTCTTTGCTTTTTTAAGAGGAAAATGTTTAGTTGACAACACTAATATTAAGTGATATTTAATACTGGTATGCTGTGTTGCGCCCACATATTTTTAGCATTAGCACTAACCAGTATTGCAGAACTGCTACTATTTTTCAGCTTCAAATTAAAAGTTAGGAGCAAATGGGTCGTTAGACACGTGATGAACTTCAATTGCCATAGTCATACAGGGAGGCACATTTCAGAATTTTGTGTCACTGGGCTGGAGCCCTTCGTACATTAGAGGCACTATTTGAAGTCATCTCTAAATATAAATCAAGAATGGAAAAAGGGAAAATAGTTTGTAAGTAGGTTGCCTCTGCTCTTTTGTCTTGTGGCATTTTTCAAACAAATGTTTGGAGGAAATAATGGTGTGTTTGGAGAGTATTAGCAATTATCATGTATAACTCTGGCTTTGTACAGGGGAGCTCTAACAAGCAAGAATATGTCAACAAGGCAGTAAAATATCAGTGATTGGAGTTTAACATTGGGGTTTAACATTGGGGTCTTTTTCAGCCATTTAAAGTTTTGGCAACTGAAACTCTAAGTCGGAAAGCATTAGATGCGGATATATATAATGCAATTCCTACTGAAAAGGTGGATGGAACCTGCTGTTATGTAACTACTTACAAAGGTAATGGGAGATCCATATGCTTATTTCTTATGTTGTCTACTAGCCTTATGTTTTGCCTAGTTTTCAGCTTTACTTTATGTTTTCCTAGATTACAGTGTTTGGGAAATTCAAGTTTTTAACTAAACAGCTTGATTATAATATTATATGCTGTAAATACAATTTTTTAGACATCTATAAAATTATTACGGATTTTAGTCTCCACCATATATGAAGCTAAAGTATACATGCAAGCCAAGAAAATGGGCTAATCTGCTTTAGTATTTGCAATCATTAAACCTTTCTTGTACTCAAGAATTTATATAAAAGGTGTTTAATTTCGTTGAGGAGGGTTAAAAAAAGAGAGTTAAAAGATGTTTTACTTTTTGTGTAATCAGTTTTAATACTATGCAGAGAGTAGCATTACCTAAAATAACTGCTTGCTGTATACCTCTGGGATTTCTAGGGCAGCCGTACCTGTGGGCCCGGTTGGATAGAAAACCTAACAAACAAGCAGAGAAAAGGTTTAAACGATTCTTGTATTCACTGGAAGATAGCAAAGGTTGGTGAAGATCTCTTCCCTGCTTTGGTAATGTAGTCATTTCAGTTGGATAAACACCTTGGGTCTAATGAGGAAACGTCTGTGATCCCACTCCCTAATTTTTCTTCTTAATGTCAGTCGTAACTTTACTTCTCTTGCTCTAGTTTAAATATAATGTTGGCTATTTAAGCAATATTTCTGAATTTGAGTTAGTTTAGACATTTTAAACTTCCCAAAGGCTTTTATGCTACTTTAAACCATCCTAATTCTAGACTGCCAAAATATGCTGAGTGTTGGTACTTGTACCAAGTAACTGGCAATACCACCTTTAAAAAAATCAAATCAAAAAAAAATCACATCATATTGTGGTGTTTTAATTCTGATATTGAAAGAGTATCAAAATGTAAAATTGGCTAAGAGTTTGCCAGAAACTAAATATCACATTTATATGTTTAGAATTTGTTTGGAATATTGAAGAGGATTTCAAGCCTGTTCCAGATTGCTGGATTCCAGCAAAGGAAATAGAGTTCTGTAATGGGAATCCTTTGCCTGATGAAAATGGACATATGCCAGGTATGTATAGAAAAACACATTTTAAATGGGGAAAAAAAAAAAAAGGTTTTACAGTGAATTAAAGCTTGTTCCTAAATTACATGTAGTAGTAACATTGTCAGAACACAACTTGAATATCAATTCTTCACTTTTCAGTAAGCTTTTGTTTTGATACAGTGAAAATAATTACCTGTGCGGGTTAACTGTAGAGTCTCAGGAAACTTCAACTGAAACCGTAGTTCTCATTTTTAAGTTTCTTCGACATTTTTTGGAGATACAGCACAGGTTTTCCTGTTACTTTCTCTGTTTATAATTAATTTAAGTGATTATTAATCCATTTAGCATGTATCAAATGCAAATAAGCATTTGATAAATCTGTGCCTTTGGTTTGATAAAATACGATGTTTTCTCTTAGGTTGGGTGCCTGTGGAGAAGAATAGTAAACAGTATTGCTGGCACTCATCTGTTATAAATTATGATGCTGAAATAGCACTGGTTTTGAAGCACCATGCTGACCCTGGACTTCTGGAAGTCAGTCCAGTGCCTTTATCAGACCTTTTAGAACATACACTGGAGCTTATTGGAACTAATATTAATGCAAATCCATATGGTAAGTATAGTTTGTTGTTGAATACTTTTGTATTGAGTGATACTTTTGAATGAAGAATATACTGCTTTTTTGCCTTAACAGAAAAGTTGTATGTTCTAGCTAGTAATGGGCCACATCTTGTGTGGCCAATTTGTGTGACAACTGACAGGAAAAAGAGCTATACTGTCCAAGTAAGCTTTCTCAGTAATGAAGGCATGGTCTTCAATTCATGTTTACTGCACTTTACAGACCTCTTAATATGGCATAGTGTTTTTTTTTTTTTCCTGGGAAATTCTCATTAAAAATTCTTAAAAGTTATATTAAATATCATTCTTTTTTTTTTAAAAAAAAAGGTCTTTTGGTGTTACAAATACTATTCAAGAAAAAAATAGTATAAGCTATATTGTGGTTGTGGCTTCTCTCTTTAAAAGCCTTTTAACAAAAAACAATTAGGTTTGAGCATAAGTGAGATAAGTGAGTTTTTAGTTCTGGGCTTGGCTGTTAGGATAACTTGCAAGAATGAAAAGGACAAAAAGGTAGTACCTGGTCTAAGCATTTTCTTAAAAATTAAAAGGAACTGCAACAAAAAAATGATCTCACTTTAATCTCAGATGCAGACTTGCATCAAACAGTCAGCCGTGATGCAATAACTGGTATTTATAAGGTCATATACTTTGTTTTCAGAAACTGTGCTGTGGATCGTGATCTGAAGTACAATGAATTTAGTTAGTGACCTTTTGGTTGATGAGGTGAGCCTGGGGGCAAAACAGACAGACAGCTGTATAATCCCTCTATTGTCTTAATATATTTTATAGAGATAAAAAAATTTATATGAGAAGATAACAGCTATGTTGAATACTTAAATATCTATTTATCTATTTAAATGAAGACAAGATGGCAGTATATAATAGAAATCTACCTTGCTAGAGTGTTTTAATACAGCTGCAGTAACAAAAGTGAGGAAACTCTTAGCTCTAGTTATTAAATGGGAGTATCAGGAAGGCTTATGTTTCTTTTAACACAGGATTAGGAAGCAAGAAACAGCCTGTACACTTTCTTGTACCACATGGAGCATTTGAAATTAAGAATTCACCTGCCTTGAAACAAAATGATATATTGTCCTGGTTTGAAGGCTGCAGTGAGGGTAAAGTTGAAGGAATTGTGTGGCATTGCAACGACGGACGTTTAATCAAGGTAAATATAGACGGGCACACAAAAATCTATTTAAAAGTCCCCAAAAAATTATAGGTTTTTTGAGACAGAATTAGGATGAGACAACTTCTATCAATTATTTTATCTCTGTGTCTTCAAAAATCCTGTTTCCATATAAAAGCTATGATGCTGTTCCCCATGTAAAGTGCTGATGTTCACTCATATTTAGAAAACAAACAGGCAGCAGCCTACTGGATCCTGTTTTCCAGAGTCTGTTGATCTTTCAAGGTAGAGCTCTAGTATTCTAGCACCCACAAAGGTTTGGTTTTGTTGTGGGAATGTGGAAATAACACAAGCTGCTTATGTTTTTGCTTTAGTAATTGCAATCTTTTATTTTTAAGACTTAAGCTAATTTTAATCATAGGTAATGAAAACTATTAGTGCTCAATCAGAAAGTGCTGTCATAATTTATTCTAGCTGGTTGTGTCTTACAGTTCACCTTTACCTTATTTTCCAAATTCTTCGGTAGGAAGAATTTCTCCTAGGAAATTGTGTGATGGTGCACTTAGCCAAGCTAATGAACCGTGATCAGTGTAATGACAAGATACTTCCTTTTCATTATCTATATTATGCTAATAGCCATTACTCTGTGTTCTCAATTCCTTTAAACTATCTGTCTTCCTTATCTGAATAGGGATCACTCAACATTTTAAGACGTCTTTTATTTTGGTAATTTATTTTTTGTAATGTTGACTTTTATTAACTTTATATTTGTGTATGTGTGTGTGTCATGCTTAAGCTGTGGAGGACACCTGGGTTCCAGTTTGTCTTTTCTGCTTCTTTGTCAATAATTAAAAGGATGGATAACACTGATGGATAGCAAGTGACCTAATGCAAGGGATCTTTCAATCTTCAAGCCCCAGTAGCTGGAAAGTGTTGGGTTACTATATTACAATCTCTGAAGTGATCTTTCTTTTTTTTTTTTTTATTTTAGCTCCATCGCCATCATCTTGGTTTACGCTGGCCAACTGCAGAGACGTATCTGAATTCTCAGCCCGTTGTCATTTCCTTTAATAGAACTAAATATGACTGCAACTTTGAACCAAAGAGTTTGTTTCACCATTTTTCAAAGTTAGATGGTCAAAGATTTGACAGATTAAAAGATATCAACTTCGATGCTTGAAACATTTTTCCGTCTTTTAAGTTCATTGCCATTTGTGCTGCATTCCTCGTATTTTTTGTTTATCATGGAGAACTCTTAACAAAGCATCTTGTTGCTTAGGTAACGGCCTACCAGAACTACGATTAAAAACAGCCATGTATGCAAAACTGTTTCTCACAAAAAGAAATGTGACATTCACAGCATGCTTATAGCTATATCTCGTTGCTTAATATTCAGTTCTGAAAAATCCTTAGGTTCAAAAACTATTTCTTGAAACTGTTAAGTACAAGTATCTTGTCTGACACTGGCTAGTCCTCGTAGCTTATTTAATGAAGGCAGTCAATTGTAAAAGGTTCCATAGGTTGCACTTCTTTAAGTGTAATTACAACACTGCTACATTTAGAATTCAGATTTAGGATCTCATTGTTTCTCATCAGCGAAAAGCAGATTTTAGTTGGGACCAGAACTAGGTTTGAAATGTGGTCATTTTAAGTTGCAACAGTTTTTCTTGGGTGAATACTGAAAACTTACTTGTTACTATTTAATAATAAGCTGTAGCATTATGTTACTACTTGAAAACTTCATTAAGCTGTGTCTTGTAGGCATTTCCACTATTTTGGGACACACACAAAAAAAAAATCAGTGTAAGCAGTGGAAAGTATACTATACTATACTGAAGTCCTTTGTAATTAGAAACCGCCATGACTTGGTCTACTAATACCCCTTGGGAAACTGTATATCAAGAGAAAAATGTTAAAAATTTTCAAAAGATCATAAATAATAAAAGTGAGAATACACAGTGAGTTCAGTGGGCTTTATTTTGTCTGTGTTATGAAAATATACATCCAGATCTACAAATTATACAAAAATCTAAAAAAAAAATGAAGCAACTGTACATTTATCTACAACAATACAGTTACTTTGGCTGAAACATTATGCACTTTTTTACATCCTCATTCTTGGATTTTCCGAAATAGAGGTAGAAAATAACTAATATTCTTAGATGGGAGACAACCAGTAGAGTGATCCTGAGTCCATACATGAGGTACATGCTAGCAGGAGGCAGCAAGAACAATTAAAAAATACAACTGATGTGGCACTTAGCACACTTATCCTGTTTAGTGCATTGGATTCCTGGATTTCTGAATAACAGTGTATGCCCAGAATGACTGTTCTACATTCATACAAGGCACAGGAGGTAAGAGTGGTTTTCTGTTTTGACTACTAGAGATAAATACTGCCTCCAATTTATTGATCATTTTAATCGAGTTTTGCACTCTTAGGTATGTGCCAAACTATTGCAACTTTGATGTATTTATAGCATACCGGCATAATAACAGATAAATAATGACTAGTACTATGTGATTACTCAGAATTTATTATCTGTAGTGATACTGAATTTATTAAACATAGCCTAATCATCAGAAGTATTGGCTCGAATGTCCACATGAATACCAAAATCCTCAGAAAGCTGCTTTAGTCTTTCTTCTAAGATAATATTTTTTTTCACTTCTTCACTGTAGTTATATTTCAGGTCCTCAATTTCTTCAAAAAAGGAAGGGTCAAAGTTGTCCAGTTCTTTTCTTAGTTTTTTTATTTCTTCCTATTAAAATAAATACAAATTTTATATACTTGTATCTAGAACTCAGGAAGTAAATTTCAACAGTAGCTTTGCCTTTTTTTCCCTTAAAAGGGTAAATGATTAGAATGATAATGTTTTCACTCCACAAACAGAAAAATCTATCACGTAACAGCAAATTCATAAAATAGAAAACAGGCTTTGTAAATAACAAAGCCCAGTTCGAGATCGTATGTTTAACTGTTAGTTAAACTGTTAGTTAATACTAGGCATTAAACAGATCTTTCCAGCTGCCCATAAGTAACTTTGCTCATTTATCTTGAGTAGAATGGCACAATCCTTACACCTCACCTTTAATTGTTCTTTTTCCAGTTCTGAGGCTTGCAATTTTCTCTGCAGATCAGCTACTTCTGTCATTAACTTGTCATTTTTATTCCTATCTATGACTCCATTATGTCCTGCAAAATAATTAAATTTAAAAGTAATGAGATGAACTAGATGAATAATCTTGTCACAACAACAAAAACTGAGTTATAATGTGTAAACCTGCTTTTGAACAAAACTACCAGAAGAGGCTTAGAGAATATGAGCTTCTCTTTAGTTCTTGTAAAAACTAGATGGTTATGTCTAAATCTTATGACTAATTATTGCAGTAGTGATAACACCTTTTTTTTTTTCCTGTCAAATGGCTCCATGCTGCTCTGTAGTGTTATCCATGGCTTCCCTTACTTGCTCTTGTCTGTTTTCCACATGGATATCAAAACTTAATGTATCTTTTCAGCAGAAGAAATCTCTGATAATGCTTAAACTATTCCTAGAGCTAATATCTGGAATCAGACTTCACGATTATCTTACCTTCAGGACTTATCTACATGTCTTTGTTTGTTTGTTTCCCCCTTCTATTTGGAAAAAGCCCAGAAAAATCATTCTTCCTTCTTTTTTTACTTGCCTATTGATTACTACTAAGGTTTTAGGGCATCTAAAGATGTCCCAAGATGTCTATCTTTTTTGTTGAGACGACAGCCCTAAAAAAAAACCTACAGTTCCAACTGAAAACCAGCTAGGGAGTACAGAAAAACTTACCTATCACCAAAAAAAAAATTCTGAAGTCAAAAGCTAACTTTAGACAGTTAAAAATGAACAAAATAATTATGCCATTGTATATTTTTTCACTTTACATGATTCTGCAGGTAGACCTCACATCACTTAAAGGAGAACCTTCCCTGAAGGAGTTTTTCAGCGTAGCATACCAAAAGCTCAGAGGTTTGCCTCCAGTTCCATTAATGGCAGAATGTTCATAATCTTGTAGCAATAAACATTAGTAAAATGTACAACATACTGTAGTGAGTGCCAGGATTCATGAGCTAGAGCTAAACAGGATATGAATTTCCTGTGTGACTCAAAATCCCTAATGCAAGTGATCCCTATGAAGTCATTTGCTCTCTGGGAGCTGAGAATCCATGGCAAGACGAGTAGGCAAGTAAGTTTCAATGAACAACTGAAATATTAAAAAAGCAGTCAAAAGCAGTCACCATTAAATTGGTACCATGAAATATACATCCTTTCAGAAAATCTTATGAAAAATTCAGCTTCTCATTCAAGATACTAAGTTCTTGATATTTTTTACAAACACTTCTTTATAAAAATATTACATAAGTACTTAAAATTTGAGACCTTATTTTTCCTCCAGTTCATGCTCTTTTGGCATTGATATAATTCAAATCCTTCTGTAGACTTATTTTCACCTTGAACACATATTACATGAAAAAAGTCTCAGGCCCAAAACAGATGGAAAAAAAAGTATTTCAGAAGTTGAAAATTATTACCAGCTGCAGGGCCTTCAGTCGTATTTGTGTCTATTTGTAGCTTGTAAACTTCTACCTGGTGAGCTAGCTCTGCTTTCTCATTCTCCAACTGATTATTAGTTAATCTGTAATATAAAATATTTTTAGAATAATTTATAACATAATGTAAAATATATATCTAAGATTTGCAATGGCTATTTCTGTTCATTCTTATTTCATGTATATAGGCTAAGGATTTTGTTTATTTTAACTACATTACCTTAAAAGTTGAAGCTCCCGGATGAGGCCTTCTTCTGTCCTAGCCTGTTCAGGCAAGCGTTTGAGAAGCTCAATCTTTAAAGGTAACAAAGTTTTACTTTGAAAATTGTATGCACAGACACCACAATTAAAATGGAGCTATTTAATTCTATTTGGATGGGTTAATAAAATAAATGGGGAAAAAAATGTAACCAAGTACAAGTTATGTTATTACAGAATAAATAAGTAAAATTGACTATTTCTACTATAAAACTGCTTATTATCTACACTCCTCTTAAAGCTAGTATGGATCAATGCTGCATATTTCATGAAAGGTGGACATAAAAATAATTAAAAATTACAAGATATATACACATGTAAGAAGTTATAGATGTACTTTAAGAAATGTTATACCTCAATCATTTAGTTGCTTTAAAAACTACTGCCTGCTTACTCCCGTAAGTTTCTAACCTGTCTTTTTCTAGGTGTTTAAATTGCCTTATTCTTTTCAAACATGCCTGATTTTGTAGTTGATGAACTCATCTGTGAAGTATATTTACAAGATTTGTTAAGGACAGCATATAAGGTACTATGATTTAAATATATATATGTAATATATAAATATATAATTCCAATTGGAAATTGCTATCCTAAAGTTGAATGTCATGCCTAAGGCAATCTCCCCAATTTCTCTCCTTCCTATGATCAATGAAAAAAATCCTTAAAATAACAACAAAATTATGTGCTGGCTAGGTTTTACTCACTTGTTCTTTTAAATCTTTTAAGCATTTATCAGCATTGCATTCACGTTCTGTCGCCTCTTGAAGCAGCTGTTTAAGGTTAGTAATACTTTGGTCTTTTTTAGCAATATCAGTTTCCAGTTCCTTCACCTTAGTTTCATACATCCTAAAAAGAGAGCAAAAGCTATTTTTTTTACAGAAACAGACAACTACATATTCTCAGGAGGTGATATGCCATGCACCATAAAATGTTTGGGATATCTTTGAAATAATTGCAGGTCCTGTTCGTAAAGCAAGTTGAATGAAGCATGAGAAACACAACTTTTTATTTTGAAAAAGACTTTTGAAAACAGTAGACCTTTGTGGATCTAAAGTAGTTTTTTTATGGTATTGTACACATACTCCAGATTACCTCCCATTAAAAACATACACAAGTCTCTTGTACTCGTTTGAATGATGCAGTGTAAATATTGATCAAGTCTGTCTAAAATACTTTGACAGTATATCTTCTAACAGTTTATGGAAAATAATGTCTTAAAGGATTAATGAAGATAAAGAAAATGGACTCTAAAGAAAAAAATGTTCTATAAGAAATTATATTTATCCCAGTGTAACTATAAACTGAGAAGAAGGAAGTTTTGTTTCAGACCATACAAGGATCCAAATATAATAAAAACGGTTTTGTACAATGACAGATATGTTGTTTGGAAAGCACTTCTCAAAGTTTTTTTAGTGTAATCTCCTGATGCATGTTTTCAGATAGTTATACATTCTCCAGCATCTTCCTAACTGCAAAAGAGCCTTCTTGCATATCACTCAGATGATACTTTTATCTGCCCTATCAAGGACACTATTATCCCAAAAATGTTTTGAGGATGTGCTGATGAGGGGGATTAGGTGGTAAGGTGTCCCAGTGACCTTCCTGTGGTTAGTCATGTCTTAATGGTATTCACTTACTTTATAATCATATTTAAATATGTTAAAGTAAATGTAAATAAAAGTTTTTAGTCATAACAGGATAGTACAATATATGTAGGTGTATATATATATGTATAGTTACATATAAGTATCAACTAAGTATAAGTAGAACAAATGTTTTCAAAAGAGGTAAATAAAGTGAAAGAAAAAATATTCTTCCTTGTCCCTTTGTTAGATGAGCCAGAACAGAGGATGATACCCAGTTAAAACTCACCTCAAGACAAGAGCTTTCCTTCTTCCTTCACTTTGGCGAAGCACTAGCACATTTCACATGAATATATCATATATTTTAATCTTTATATGAAACTGTTCATTATTAAACATACTGGTGCACCAATATAGAGTATTTATATAAAATTCTATTGAAAACAGGTGTTGTAGTAATGCTTTAGGGACTGGCACTGGTTTTGCAATGACTTTGGGGGTGACAATATTTTTAAGAACAGGCCAAAGAACACAATGCCAAACAGCTTGACTCCAGTAAAGAAAAGAATGCAACTGAAGACCTTTAGGCTCTAGAGTCAAGATCTCCAGTCTTTATAAATAAGTAGTCTTAGAAAAGGCAATGGAACTAACTGAAGTAGTAAAAAGGATTGTATGATTTGTATAATTTTTGATGCCAAATTCAATTTGAGGCTTGACGATTTCAAAGTATGAGAAAGTGGCCATTTCCACACTTCTTTTTATATATTAGAAAAATGATCTAATTCTAGTCCCTGGTCTTTTCTCCCTTCCAGAAGTAACAGAATCAAGTGGCTAATTGCATGCAGTTAACTTTCAGGATCTTCAGAGAGTGCTTGAAGGATCTTTATTTGCATCTGCATGTTCCAAGGAGCATGGAAATTCCATTGTGTTTCCTAAACAAAAAATCTGCACATTCACACGGACCTAAGTAGGTACAAACATTGCAAAACTAGAATGTGGTTTCTGACGTGTTTTTTCAGATTGTCATCTTTGTGGTAAGGCGTTATTCTTGACAAAAAATGCTGACATTACTGCAAAAGCACATTATAATATATTTAAGCACTAAGGGGCAAGTTATTCAGCTAATCTTAAGAATAGAGAAAAAGTAACCAGCTAACAAGGCCAATCACACAATCACAGAATGGCTGAGGTTAGAGATCATCTAGTCCAACCCCCTGCGCAAGCAGGGACACCTAGAGCACGTGGCACAGACTGGCATCCAGGCAGGCTTTGAAAATGTTTAAAGAAACTAGATCTCTGCTAATACCTTTATACTCTACCCTTCATTCTTTATTCCTACCTTGTTACAACAAGTGATTTCCAATTTTTGTTGTCAGCTCCATCAACCTGAGGGTCTCTGCTCTCAGCCAAATTTAGCCTCTTAATGTTTTCCTCCAGCTGCATTGTTAACTTCTCATTTAATACTTCCAAGTTATTCTTTGCTATTCGTAGCTTTTCTCCAGCATCAATTTCCTGTTGTTCAATAATAATAGAAAGTTAAATGAAATACACAACCTTATACATAGCACTGGATTGTCTAAAAATGATAGTGAGGTAGGATCAGTAAAGCAGGGACAAAGAACATATCCCAGATCATTAGTACTGCATCTTCAAAGTTCTATCTTGGGCTATTCCTTGGAGAACCCTCTCTGATATGAAATCCTGTCATGTCAATATTAATAGTTTAAAAAAAAAAAAAAAGAAAAAAAGAAAAGAAAAAGAAAGTGCTAATACCATATCAGCTATTTGGAAAAAAATAAGATACTTACCACGATCAGTCATTAATTCAAACAGATGGTTACGTTACAATGATCATACCTTTTTCAGTTCTTTACGTAGTCTCTCATTTTCAGTAATGGCTTTTTCTATGCCTTTGGTTTTTGATTCATGATCTGTACTTAGGTGGCCACCCAGATGAAGTTTCATTTTTTCCACTTCAGACTAAATATCAAAATGTGTTAAAACAGTTCATTTATATTGCTTAGTAGAAAGTTAAAGCAGAAAGCACAGCACAGTTACCTCGCACATTTAATTTAACATTTAATGACATATTTAATTGTACTCTGCAGGTGTTCAGAGATATTTTATGTTATCAGTGCCTATCCCTAAACAACTGTTCGCTTTAATTCCATCATACAATTTGAGCTTTTTACTCAATAAAAGTGATGATCCTCATTTGAAAATATATTTTTAGTTTTGTAGAAAATGGGGTATTTCAGAGTACCATCATATTATCATTATGTATTTTCATTATATAAATTATGTAATATGTTATGCCAAAATGAAGCCTTACATTTGTGTTCTACAAGCTTTGCAGTTAATATTTTATAGACACTTTTGTGCCAATCCATGGCTTGCTTTGCAATTTTCCTAATAAACTATACCTAACTATATTTACTAAAGAAAAATGTCTACCTTCAGCCTCTCATTTTCCCGTTCAAGACTTCGTAACTTCTCATTAGAAACAACACTTGGAGCTTTTTTCAGATCTTCATTTTCTCTTTGGACTCTTTCTATAACTTTTTTCATCAAACCAATTGTTTTTTCCAGTTCAGGGACTGTTTTTCCACTTCTACCAGACTATACAAGAGGGAAAAATGAAAGAAAAAAAAGTACTATGAAACAAGTTGGACTAGATGATCTCTAAAAGTCCCTTCCAACCTTAAGGATTCTATGATTCTTCCTCAGAGGTAAGGACCACAGTTCAGAACCTCTTATTCCCTAGAGCCCTAAGAAAACCTAGGTAGTGATCAAGCTTTGGAAGTGAAAATGACGTAATTTTCACCTTAAAATTTTTCATTCAAAATCCCCAAATCTTCCTTTTCCAAAAGCCCTGGAAAGACTAGGAAGTTTGTGATGGTACATGACAGAGTTATGTAACATGGGCTTTCAGAAAAGCCCTTGTTAGTTCTCTTGTGTCTGAAAAGCATGAAAGATTGAGAATTCACCACCTCCTCAGAACCTTTGAAGAAAGCAGCTTTATAAACTGAATTCAACTTTATCCAAAAACACCACTGCATAAATAGGCAGATACACATAATGTTAAATATACTTTAGTAGAATCTCCAACAAAATCCCAGTTTTCTTTTTCATTTCAAATCATTTTATTTCCGCAGGAAACAGAACTCATTTTCCTGCTATAGTGAAAGAGCCACTAAAATTTTTAAGAGCTTTTATGCCTGTTTCCTTTAAATGCCACACAAGTCGTTTGAGAAATCAGTAACAAGAGAGACAGCAGTCCTGGGACACTTTTTTTCCTGCAACTTTTGAAACACTCTACTAATGTAGTGGAGAGGAACTGAAGTAAAATTTAACTTTCATCTTAGACAGAAAAACAAAAAAACCTTACTGTCAGGAAGCTGCAATTTCTAAACACCTGCATCAAATCAAAATTCTACTTTTTAAATCAGTTACTATATTAGTACTCATTAACATAAATTATCACTTTCATTAATAGTGCTCTAACTCCTACTTTTGATACAAACTTGTTTCTACAGATAATTTTTAATCCAGATGACAAAATAAGGCTATGATCCTGCAAAAATTTAATGCAGCTTTATTCCTTTGAATGGTCCTAGTAGCTGAAATTGAAATAGTATTACAACACTGCCCCCAAAAAATAGACAAGAACACTTCCTGATGTTTTCAGTTGATTCCAAACAGTTTTAATCAAATACAGTTATTTATTGTATTTTAGTCTCATACAACTGTGATGAAAAAACATGTTTAAAATACTCACCCCTCTAACATTGCCCAGCTTACGTTCAATTTCTGCCTTCTCTTTTTTGAGAAGTTCATACATTTCTTTTAAGTCACCCACTTGGTCCTAAATAAATAAATAAAGTTAATAAGCTAGATACTGAGATTTTAAATTGAGGTAAATAGTTATAAGTTTACCTTGAAAAAAGAAAGCAACTTCCAATCACAATTACGTATTTCATCATTTCTACCAATGATTCAACTTCCACATCCAGTTTAAACCAAGAAAAGCCTATGATATGTGCACAAAAGGCATCTTTTTAAGCAAACCTCTGATTTTCTTCTCTACAGGGATGTTACCTTTAGTCTCGGCAAATCTTTATTGGCCTGCTCTAACTGGAATTTCAGCTCAACATTTTCAGAAGACAGTCTCAAATTTTCCTTTAGTACTTCTTGCTCTCTTCGATATTGATCTGATCCTATTCCCGATGTCTTGGGAAAAGAAAAAAGTAAATTATTATTTAATGGCAAAGTATTATTCATTTTACCATCTGTAAAAGAGCAACACAGAATTAATATTCTTCTTTTTACAAAGAAAATCAAATCTACTATCACAGAACAGTGAATGTTTTTGAAACACAAATTCTTTTGGAATCTCTTCATCACTTTAATTGTGTGAAATAAAATTCCATCAGAGATGTATGTTGCACCACCAGTTTTTATCTAACCTACTTGGATATAAGCAAGTTTTAAAAAATTAAGAAAAGGACTTAAACATTAAAACAAATGTAAAATCCATCAAAAAAAATTAAGCCGGAATTAAATTAACTTTCAATAAATCTCAGAAGTCTAAAACAGGAGGAAAAAAAAAAAAAAAAAAACAACTACAGAGTGTAGGTAGCTGTGGCACTGTACCTGGGAGCAGAATCTAATTTTAAGTACATATAGAGGTATTTTTATTAAATGACATTAATTTTTTTCACAGATTCAAAGATGAATCACAGAGCAAGTGAAAAATAGTGTATAAATCTACTTCTCAGGTAGAATTAGTTCTTATATTTTTAAGTTTTTTACCCAAGGCTAGTAATTTCTATTACATAGAGTGCTCTGTATGCCTTATTTTGCCCATTCTAATAAATTCAGTTGTTATCTCTTATCAGTAAAGAACAGACCTTTCCAAGGTAATAATCAGCAGTTTTCATTTATGTAATTAACCATATTGTTCATGTTTAATAACCATAGAAATAAAGCATGTCCTTCAGAAAAGTGTGTTTTAATTGAGTAAGAGCAAATAATACCATATCACAAGATACCTAAAAAACAAACATTATCAGTTAGCTGCCTGTATCGTTGTGACTATTTTTAAACTATCTAGAGCTAAACTTGAGAATTCACCATAGCTTCCTTGTGCGCTGACATTCACGCATCTACCAGAGCTGTAAGATTTGTTTAGTGGACCACTCAGTGACTACTTTGATATCCCTTCAGACCACACTTTGGGAAGCACCTACATTATTAAGTTACTATTCTAATTCTACACCATTTTCTAAAACGCTAATGGACTGCTACAGTATCAAACCTGGGGCATCTCACAAAGTTCTGAGGTTGGTTCAGTTCCATCTGTGCAAGCAAGGTTTTCATGTTTGTACTCAGCAGTGGGTTTATGCATTTCATTATTCACCTTTGTATTTTCTCCCCCATAGCCATTAGCTTGATTAGAAGATTCCCCTGAATCAGAAAGATTGCAGCTCATTCTCTCAAGACAAGACTCTTCTCTGCTTTCCTTTTCATCAACATTTGACTGCTTATATATTTCTTGCTTCCTGTCTTCTCCTCCTTCTCCTTCACATTTCTCATTGTTTTTTTCCTCCTCAGATTGAGTTATATTTTCTTCTTTATCACTGCCATTTTGTTCATCATCTTCAGCGTTAGCTTTGCTCGTTGATCCTTCCCCAGCAATATCTAGGTCCTTGCATTTTTTACTATCTTCAGATTGCTGTTCTGGAAACACTTCAGTGCTTTTTCCTGAAGTAGCCTCATGGCCTTTGTTAGGAATGTCTGCATCCTCATCTATTTCATTACCATTGATAATGCTAAGGTTAGTCTGATGTTTGATTTTATCCCTACTTGAAATAAGTTTCTTTTGAAGGTAATTGAAAAATTTGCATGTGCTGATATTGATAGGAACAGAATTATTCAGTTCTGTTTGGTCACATGTTGTACTCTGATTGAAGTTGAAGATAGAACAAACATGAAAGAAAAGTAGAATATAGTAAAACAAAAGTAGTAACACAAAACAGAAAATTAAAAAAAAAAAAAAAACTAGGACAATCTGTTAAGCCTACTTCTTCCAGATTTAAGATGACCTTCTAATTCAATATTGTCAACATAATGAAAATTGTATAAAACAAAAGAGAATAAAAAAAAGGAAAAAAGATACAGCACCTAATGCAACTGAAATCAACCTTGGTGTTTTTCCCAAACTCTACGAATTTTCAAATTCTCAGTCAATACAAAAGATGTAAGCAGCCTCTCAGCGGCAGATTCACATATTTGGAAATACATATACCTTATTTCTCCAAACATTCATTGCTTCTCAACATTCTTAACATGTTGAATATTTCAGCCTCTACCTCTAGAACACAACTGGATTTTTTTTTTTCACATTAAAATCTAAGTATTTTGCATCCTGTTCTAGACTACTACTTTTGAAAACAAAATCAACCATATGATAGAATAATAAATACAGAGTAGATGTTTTAGTTAAGTAAACATTATTCTTTTAGGTTAATATGGCTACATTCTTAACTTACCGAAGGTCTAGAATATGTCTCTCCTGAGCTTTGTCTCTGCAATGCATTAAGCTTTTGCTGAAGGTATTGGTTTTTAAAATGTAACTCTTCTACAACAGAATCTCTTGGAACAGCTTGCTGCATTCTAAATTCAAAAAATGAATCATGCAAAATAAAACAAATGGCTGCTAATGCACAGAAGCATTCCTTAATGTAAAAACAAGCATGGGATTTCTAGCTTGCTAGACTGGATATTGTATTATTACTCAGTTAGTTTTACTAAAAATCAGTCTTACCGTGTACACTATTCCAACCAGTCCCCATGAACCCAGAGTATTTACTTTTGCCAAAGGAATCTGCTGTCCTGACCTGTGCAGGTTCTGTTACTGGGTACATAAGCTACTCCCACTGATTAAGAATACACCCACTAACTGCAGCTTTTGGATTATAGTAACCTTCCCTAACTTCTATTTATAATTTTACACAAAAAGAGCCGGATACTTTTCAGATTATTTAGCCTTTGAAATAATAAACCAATATTACCTATTCTCTAAACACAATTGTTCCCAATCAACTTTTGAAACTTAGCATTTTTAAGGATCAACTGATAGAGAGAACAACCTCCTACAGACTGTCTCATCTAGGTTTTTCAGTTTTTACAGATTCTCTTGGAATGCTTCCCACCTCATATGAGCAATTTCATTTTCTAAATCAAGATTCTGTTTCCTTAGTTCTTCCAGTTCTTTCTCAGTCTCTGAGGCTCTCGCTCCAACAACGCGGTCAACAGTAACACCAGTAGTTTTCAGTTTCTTCTGTAGAATAATTTTCTCTTTTTCAGCCCTGCAATATGCAGCAAATTTGCCTTAAAAACTTTAATGGCTAATAAGCTTTCACCTTACCATCTATTTGCTCACTAAAGCTCCTCCACACACTTTTTCTCAATTAAAAAAAATCAAGCCACAATCACTTGTTAGAGTGCTTATGTATTATGTGAAAATTCATAAGAGTTTTGCTAATACTAAAAGCCATTTGAAACAGCTTCAACCTGCAATCCAAGAACATCAACCACCTCTATTACCACCATTTTTGGATCTTGCATGAGTGAAAAACCTGCCATTACTCTATTGAAAAAAATATAACTTCAAGGGCTTGCTTGTTTATTGTTTTATTACATTTTTTTTTCTGAGAAAGTTTTGTTAGTACTGCAACAGTACAGCAAGCAGTAACGCAGCATCCAGTCCTAGATACCTCATCAAATGACACAAGTATCTCACGGTGATGTGAAAAAAGAGCCCTTCTTCATCTAGCTATTACTTCTGCAATGGGATAACAGAACGCTATATACAAACAGAATGCTAGTTTTATTGAAAACCAGTTTCTTCTATATAAGGCTGTCAGCTCTCACAAGTGACAAGATACTAGCAGAACAGCCAGTCCTTAAAATTGAACTCGTTCTTTAAACTTTAATAAAAATGTCAAATTCTAGAGATCAATTTTATAAATGTTATAATTTTATAAACTGTTATAATTATTATATAGTTGTTGTTGGATTATTACTATTTGGATTTCCTTTATACTACCACAATTTTTTAGCAAGAACTGTTAAAATCAACTCACTTGGTATAAAGTTCTTTCAGTGTATTGAACTGTTTGGTTAAAGCATCCATTTCTTTTTCCTTCTCTTTTAGTTTGTTCCTCATCCCTTCCATTCTGACTTGCCATTTTTTACCTTCTTCCCATCTAATTATTTCCTCCTTGGAGGTTTGTGAAGCATATGAACATTTTTTTTTTTTGATTTATTTTGTGTAGAGCAGAAGAAATAAACATATTAGAAAACTATGCATGATAACTTCTCATTTCTAAATCTTAAACATTAAACCAAACTAGATAATGTAACTAGGCCAATAAATTACTTAGCTGGCCCAGTCGGATACCCTAAACATGCTGTAGCAACCGGCGTATAAAATTAACATAGCTTAATACTATTCATTAGTAGGAATTCATCAATAGCAATTCACTAGGAAATTCATTAACTTTTAATAATGATTTAATAAAAACATGCATTTTATTAAATCAGAGATGCTCTTTCAAGGTAACCTTTTACTATGAATTACAGGTAGGTAAAGAAGACAAATTAAACAAAAGAGAAGAGCTTTCTATGCCAATTTATTGCAGATTGGTATTTTCTGCTGCCGTTTACCAGATTACAATTGCTTGACAATTGACAATTATAGGGTTATTTTTTTCCTATAACAGATGGAAACTCTACTTACATTTCAGTAATTATAAAATACATTATCTAATGAAAAACTTTATCATAAACAGCTATTGAACTATCACAGCCAATGTTCCTGTGAACAATATACATACATATTTATATGTGCATAGATTCACATATGCGCACACACACATATAAATATATAAATATATGTATGAATATAAAATAACTGGACTTTTCACTTCTTTCAGGAAGCTCCTATACTTCCTTTTATTGCTAGTAAACAAGACAGAAAATATATTCTTGAAAAAGAGAAAGCAACCCAAGTTCAAAAAAGATGTATTAAGATAGAGCAATAGGTATTATAAAAAAAGTCTCAAACTAAGAGGATATTATAAGTTTAGTCTGAAAATTATATTTAATATTACAAATATACTGAATGCAATTATAAAAACATTCTATAAAGCTCCAGTAAACTATATAGTTAACATGACAAACTAAACTGGTTACTTATATAGCAAAATAACAAACAAAATAAAACAGGCATCTCAGATCACACAGAACTTTTAAATGGAGATCACGACTGTGAAGATCTCTGGACTTCACACTTTTACTGCTACGTACTTCATTTTTATCATTGCATTCTCAGATGCACATTTGACAGCACTTATGTAATAATTTTCTTTACTACCTCTAATATTTTATCTGTTTATTAAAATTTCTAATGGATCTTTAAAATTTCCAATGTATTTCTAGTGAATTTTCTTTAAAATTTCTAATGGATCCTCCACTAAATCAATAGGGAGAGGAAAATATTAATATGCCAGTATTAAGTACTAAGTAAGGGTTACAGCCCAGGCTATATGAACAGCAACAGTCATAAAATTATTTTGAGTAAGGTGAAGATTTTTTGGAGTGGAGGGCTGGGGTGTTTTGGGGTTTTTTTGTTTGTTTGAAGCAGGGAATGTTGAACTACCTAGACTCAAGCTAATGTCTTTAAAAGATTTATTACATACCTTGTCTTCTCTTATATTTTTCTTTTCTGTTTCTTCACACTTCTTCTCAAGTTCATTTTCCAACTTTTTAACTTTTTTCTGAAGTTCATCTATCAGATTTTGCTCATCAGTTTTGTTCTGAAAAAGTATAATTAACTTTCATAATCTTAAAATTTTAATGACTACTACTTAAATAATTCCGTCCTCAAAAAATGAAGAATTCAGTAATTTAATGAAAGTTTATAACCTAAATAGCCTCCTAAAAATGGATTCTACCAATTAGAATTAATGAAATGTAACTTTATAATGTAAAGTAAATAATCAGCAAGTAGGTGAGTTCGAAAAGGAAAGCTTAAATAATTCTTTTGTTAATCCATCCCTTAGTAATGACATTGAGGAAGATCACAAAATTTGAGCTAGCCATTTTTCAAAGAAAACCACTAATTCAGCACCTCGGACTCTTTAATACTTCCATTTCTTTCCTTTCAGTGTCACTGTTTTCAGCTTCTCCCTTTGATTTGAGATGTACTTCTAATGGCAAAAGCTAATGACTCATATATTACCCTGCAGAAATCAGGCTGATGAGCAATATACTTTTTCCAATCAAATATTAGTCTTTATGTGTGTGCAGAAAGTTGAGCAAGATTATTAAAAAACAGAAACAAAAAACCCACATATCTACCTGAATACTACTGGTCAGCCTCCTAATCCTTTTCTTTAGTTCTTCATTTTCTTTTTCCATTTCATTTTTTTCTCTCATCACTTTAGTAAATGCTTTTTGTTTCCTTTGAAGTTCTTGGTTCAACTCATCAACTTCATTTAACAAAGAGCTCTCCTTGTTTTTACTTATTTTAAGATTATCTCTAAATTTTGTAACCTGATCGTTTAATTCTTCTATCTGTGTCTGGAAGGAAAAAAAAAAAAATCAGGATATCAGCAACACAAAAACACAATACAAAGATAATACCTAGTACTCAAAAAAAAAATCAGGATATCAGCAACACAAAAACACAATACAAAGATAATACCTAGTACTCACTGTTAGCCCCTTTGTTTGTCTATCAACAATCTCCTGGACATTCATGTAGGCCTCTTTCTGTGATGCTGCAGAAATAATCTGCTGCTCAGCATTAGCAGTCATTTCTGCTCGGAGTTCCAGAAGTGCTTTACTCAACGCCTAAAATAACATAGTATAACATAAAATTCAAGCCTTGTAACTTACCGTACACATTACAAAATAGAAAAAAAGAGATTTTATTATGTTAAATTGCTCAGATGTATTCTACCTACTGCTGTGCTGCTCATAGTAATCTGAAGCATGAAGCCATATTAAACAGTTATTTAGTTTGTGTCATAGGTATATAACCTTTGATGACTAACTTTTTGCTGCTTCTCTTTTAAGGCTAACTGGCTCTTTAGGCGTTCCACCAGGTTCTTCAGTGTTGTTGTGGGTGCTCTATTATTTGCTTCTTTTTGGGACTGTAGTTCAGCTTTTACATTCACTAATTCATTTTCCACCTGAGATAACATGTTCCTCAATTTATTTGCTTCCATCTTCAGGTGCTCCACATCAACTGCATGCTTTTCCTGAAGTCTAATACAAAATAAGAATAAATAAGATGTATTTCAATAATGAAGTTAGCAAACTTGAAATAAATAACCAAGGACACAGCCTTATGTTTTTATTATTGTTAAACACAGCAAAGACTCCCTCCCTCAATTTAACAAGAAAGCTATTCAAGATAACAAATGAGATCAAAGTATTTGTATTCTTGAGTTAACAACAAGGTTATTCTAATCCTTGGCATTAGCAGGTAAAGAAGCATTGTACTTTCTTTCTTTTAAATAAGAGATATATTCTCTCTTTTTTTTTTTAATATTTAGCTTAATGGTATTTGTCATATCAAGTCTCATGGAATACTTTTTGTTTCACTGTAGGGCATAAATTTAATAATTGAAAGGCATTTTACAAGCCACAGATTTTTCAGTTTTAGCCTTGATGACAGATTTTGAAGTAAAACAGTTTACAAGTTAACCATCTTTTGAGTTATTTTTTCAGTCTAAATTTGAGGGCTTTTTTGAGCTTATTTTTGAGTTATTTATTTCAGCTTAAATTCAGCCAAAACATCTTCCATTCACAAGCCTCTTCCATAACAGCAATAAATAGCTGATTTGATGCAATCCAAATGTGACTTGACTGCATTAACAGTCTAAAAACTTACTGGGCCCTGATACTCTCAAACTCTTTGACTTTCATTGAAGTAATTTGTTTCTGTTTTTCCAAGTCAGATGATGTTTTCTTTAACTTGATAACAAGTGAAGCAAGAGAATTGTCCTGTTCTGCTACAGTTTGCTCCATTTCAGCCAAACGGAGGAAATGTTTGTCGCTAGGAAGTGTCAAAGAAGGCTTTTTCATTAACTCCTGTAAAACAGAACAAAGACACATGACAAATATTTTAAGATTTAAATCATATGAAAACTAGTGATGTGTTTTGAACTCAATCTTGAACATAACCAAACATTAATATTTATCATTCCTATCTATTGTGGAATGAGTCAATATCTATACAGAAACATCAATCATATTGCTTTCAAAATAATTCTTCATAGATATCAACTTATCAACAGGTGTCTACACAGAAATTGAATTAGATTGTGTTATTTTCTTTAGCCATAAATTCTGAATGAAAATCACAGAAAACATAAAAAATACCCACCTTTCTTCTAGAATTTTTCATAAATTAGAGTGATATGAAATATGCTCTATATACTATGCTAGTAACTTCATTTTTTACATTTGTTCTCTCAAACTCAATTCAAGAAACAGTAATTCTGTATTGACTATCAATTTATTTTTCTTGTAATGATTTATGACTTTCTTCTGCGATTTTCAAAATTTCACTCATTCCACAAATACATGTAACTCACCAAAGCAGTCTGCTTGAATTTATTAAGGGAATTATCATTATGCAAATCTAACTTTTGGTGTAGTACTCTCAGGTCTTCTTCATGCTTCTTGACTATTTCCTCTTGTTCCTGTAAGTTCAAAGTAAAGATGTAACCCTATGGTACTTACACTGGTACATAATTCCAGAAATAAATGAAATTGCTTTTTAACACCTATTGGGAAAGAATCCGCTATTGCGGTTTTAGGGTATGTTTGCACTAGCAAGTAATATGATGCAACAGAACAGGAACTGTAAACTAAAACAGTTGGTATGGAAGATTGAAAGGATATTTACTTTGGACTAGCTTTAGTGTGGTCCCATAAATTGAACGTATACTAGCAAATGGAGCACAGAGGGAGAGGGTTCACCCTTAGAGTGCAATTTCTGATTTAGCATCAAAGCAATAATATTTGATTTCTCTCAGATGAAATAGCTGTACATGTTAAAAAAAACCACAGTAAGTAAAGATGATCAGAAACTGGCTACAGAAACACACTCCTGATACATATAGTGTGTTTGTATTTCCATAAATACAAGTCATTCTTATTCCTCTCAAATATACTGCAAGATGCACTGTTGTAAGTGCATGAAATCCCCTTAGGAGTCTGCTTTTCTTTTTCCTTCTGTCATACTAATTTAATTCCTAGAAAGACATTGTATACATAAGCCTCTTGACTAAGTGATTTTCCCACTGTAAAAAGTTCATGCAGTTCATGAACTTCCAACATGAAAAATGAATAACCATGTCTGCTCTGTTCCCTCTGAAGTCAGAAAACTAAAATTTCACTAACAATCAGATGAACAAAGAATAAACTAAAACAACTTAAAACCAGAAGAAAATATATGCAAAAAAAGTTTAGCTACCTCTCTTGCTTTAGCAAGCAAATGCTGGTATTTCTTTAACACTTCTTCCTTCTGATTTAATCTTGCTTGCATATTTGCAATGGTTTGATGAGCAATTTTTATGGCATGATGGTACTCTGGATCATCTTCTTTTCTGCCCAACTCAGCTATTATTTTGTCTCTTTCTGATGTTGCAGGTAATCGAAGTCTTAGTTCATTTATAACCTTGTCTCTTGATAGAACATTTTGTTCAGCTTTCCACAGAGCAGTTTCTTTTTCTTTTAATTTCTAAACAAAAGTTATCAGAAAGATTTGCCTAAATTGACTTATAAGCCCGACATTTTGTGTCAAGTTTTGTACGGTGCTATCGTAAGATCAAAAGTTCCGTAGTATGATTAGCATGTCCTTATGTGCTTTTGCCTGGCACACAGCACCTATGCAAGCTGCTTTACCAAAATTATGAAATGGGTCTTTTCAGATTTCTTGCGAATCACATACTATCTCCTATAACAGATTTCCAATTTAGTATAGTCTAAAATGTGAAATTTAGAACCATCTAAACAGATTAAAAATCCTTCTCTGTAATTTTTTCTAATGGCAAAATGTTAATTTTAGGGAAATGACACATTTAGGTAGCATTTACCAAAGGTTATTTGATATATATAAAAGGATATAGAAATAAACACTTCGACATTTATAAGCAAATTATAAATGCAAAACATTTCATTACCTCCTCTAGTGATTTGCATGTTGACCTAGTTTCTAAGATCGTTCGAATGTGTTCCTGATTTCTTCTCAAAGCCATCTCAAGCTGCTGTGGAAGGGGCAAACTAGAGTCTGGAACTGATGCTGTGGCCTCTTCAAACTGCACAGAGAGATTCATATTCATGTTATCTAACAACTCCAAAAAAAAAAAAAAAGGTCTATTTTAAGCTAATTCAGTGCATGTACCTTTAGAGCAGTACTAAGTATTTCATTTTGTTGATGATCATATATGTCTAACTGGCGCTGCAGTTCTACTTCCCTCTGGTCCCAAGACATTTGTCTTTCTTCATGAAACTGTAATAAATGTTTGATAAAGTCATCTTGTTCATCGAAGACAATGAAAATTTTCTAACTGATTCAAATAGGAAAGATGTATAAGGAAACATAAAATGTCTGAAAATGACTCAAATGTGCTACTGAAAGTGATGGAACCAAAGTGAAAGATCTATGTTAACAACATCACTAGGAAAAATATATGTATTTTAAGTCACTTAATGAAATAAAAAAATTGCTTTTCTTCTAATAGCACACAGAAATATATACCTTATTCTGCTGTACAATTTCTTCTTCCAGATTATTGATTGTACATTCATATTCAGAAATTATATTATTCAAATATTTCATCTCTTCCTTTTGCTTGGCTAACTCTCGATTCAGTTTAAGTTCCTGCAAATGGAGTTCCTCCATCTTCATATGCCATTCAATTACCTAATAATAAATTACAGTGTTACAATTCATCAAGTCCACAAGGCTGTCTAGATGCAGCTTACAATCTTCGACTTTGAGGCAGGAGGGCATTTATCCAAGTAATGGAAGGAAAAAGATTCTGCCTCTTTAAGCTTTTCCACTTCCTTTGAATGAGAAGGCCTGGCAAGATTATTTAATTGCAAGAGGAACAACTGAAACTAGCAGCAAATAACTGCAGAGATAATATGCCTCCCCCATCTCAACAAAGAGAACCCTCTCTCATGTGCCAGATAATTTTCAAATGATCTGAGCTATATCCTGTGCACCTGTACAGCTTGAACAACAACAACAAAAAAAAGCATTCAAGAAGTTTTCCAAAGCATGATTAACAGATCTTCAAAAAATTTCAAAATCTTCAAGAAACACAGCAAATTTTAACCAGTTGAAAGACATTTATAATAGCAAAATATGATTTTGCTTTATAAGGACTTTACAAGGGACTTCACATGGGAATAACAACATTTCTGTCTAGATTAAATGTGTCTGGATTTATTTAAAAAGTCATAGATTTAAATTAAAGTTGTTTATCATGTTCTGAATCACGAAAACCTGTATTAAAACATAAGGATAGGGCACAAACTGGACTGAAATTGAATTTCAATGCACATCAAATTTAATGGCTATCCAAAACCATAAGACAACTAACCTTCTGAGCTCCTCTTGTATCCTTCAATGCACTTATCAATTCTTCTAGACCTTTTAGTTTTAACTCCATTTCTAGTGCTCTGTTTTCGGCATTTCGACGCACTTGCTGGGCATGCTGAACTTCTTCCAGGATTTTCAGTTTGTCGTTCTGCAGCTGAATCATGGTTCTTGAGAATTTTTCTTGTTGTGCCAGAGGCAGAGCACCACTAAATTGTCGCCGCAATGACTGAATTGTCTGACGTAGATGTTTGGCTCTATTCCTTCCTTCCAGTCGGGCAAAATATAAGGCTTGCTCTCTGTCATCAAGCTTCTGCTCTAAACGTAGATTATGGATCTCCATTTTCTGTAGTTTCAATTCAATTGTTTCCAACTTGTCTAAAGCACTGGATTCGCTAACTTGAAGTGCTATGATACGTTGATGTAGTTTTGCAATAATTGCTTTCTCATCTGACTGTGCCTACAAATCAAAACACAGAGTAAAATATCTTTCCATTTTTAATATAATAACGCAGTGCTTATATACTGCATGCATTTTACCCCAGATAGGAACAAGCGTCCCAAGATAGGAGCAAGCTTCTAAAAACAGAATTTTACCTCTACAGCCAAATTTTAAAAGTACATCATTTTCTCAGATAGCAAACAACAAAGAAACATGCTAAATCTGTTGCAGCTCTTCAAGATTCATAAGTCATGCCTCAGAGCAGAAAAAAAAAATGAGCAGACTTTTCTGTTCTAAACATTAAAATTGACTGTGAGCTATTAGGTATTACTTAAAACAACTATTACCTAAATAACATGGAATTAAAAAAAGGGGGGGGAGGATCTGTTTTTATAGTTGTATGAATAGAAATAGAGGGGAGGAAAAAAAAAAAAAAGGAGGAAGGATTAATTTAAGTCTTATGGAACTCTTGAAAGGGTATGGACATTCAAAGGTAAAATCTTCAAAAATACTTTACAGTTTCTGAATTTATTTTAGAATTACTTCACTTTCCGGGAAAAAAAAATGCAGTGTTTACAGAGATTGATTTGACCGTACCTGATATTCTAAAATTTGCATTCTAAGACATTCCACTTCTTTGTCTCTGCATTGTTGTCGTGCCTCTAAAGCTCCAACTTGCATTTTTGCAACATCAGACAGTTCTCTTAACCTTTCAGGAAAAATAATATGGCATCTTTTGAAATCACCGAAAAACCTATTCAACTGTTCTATGCAGAACAGCTAAAAGATGAATGCCTTGGCATGAACTAGAATTTTAAGCATCAAAGACTTCATTCTCTTCAGCATTCATTCTCTACTCATTCATTTTTCTCTACCATTCTTTACATACTGAGCAGAGGCTCCTAAATTTTTTTACAGAGAGTCTCCTATAAATTATATGCATAGTTTGCTACCAGATCCCCACTCCAGGAAAACATCACCATGGTCTTTACCTAATCTAAGTATCTCTGTATTTCTCTATTTCTCTCCCAATTCCAAACAAAAATACTCAACAAATTATGTTCTCTATATCCTTCTGCACTTTGGAAAGTCTAATTCCTCATTTTCAGCATCAGAATGATTGCAAATATGGCTTTTATGCTTTAGGATTATAACAGGATTATATTGCTTACTCAGATACAAATGTCCATCATAACAATCACATCAACATATTTGAATAGGTCAGTATTTCAATAAGCATACAAAGTCAATCTCTTTAAGCTAAAAAAAAAAAAAAAAAAGTCACTCCAGCCTAAATCTCTTTTTCAATATACCCTTTAGAAAAAAAAAATAGCTCTGTAACTCCTTATATGAGATTGGCATAAATCTGCCAGAGATTCTACACAGAAACAAAATAAATCTTATTATTTTCGTTACGGTACCTAAATGAAATGCTTCAAATTTGGTAGAAAAAAATAGGCACCAAAAATTACTGATGAGTGCTACACAAATAGCATATGTCTATACAGTCCTAATTTTAAGCACTTCCAAACATGCTGCATTTTGAATTTGTTACCTCAGTACTTACTTAGATACTTCAATCTTTAGTTCCATCTCACTCTTCTCTAAATCCATGATTTGTCGCCTGTCTGCATCACTTACTGCCTTACTTATACTATTTGACAGTTCATCTCTTAATTCTTGTTCCACTTTTTGTGCTTCGAGGTTGATTTTAGTGAGCTTTAAAAAAAATTAAAAATTAAAAACAAGCAAAATGGTATCCTTAAGTGCACATGCACCACCAACAAACAGAAAAAGTACCCAAACTATCTTTCTCTTTCAGTCATTATAAATATTGTACAACAAAATTTTTTGTATAAGAAAAAGTTTTCTTTCTGGTTAAACAGCTCTCTCTATTAGCAGTATTGCATACATGGTAAGGAAAAGCTTAGTAATGACTTTACCAAACACACACAGATGTGGCAGATTAACTTGATTCCACTTATTAATAAAATAACCAACTTCTGAAATAGAGCTAATACTGAAACTGTAAAATGGATAATAAAAGGAGTCATGCTGAAGCAGAGTTATGAGTTTGGAAGGAGATGCCTTGCAGACTGCTACTAGTTATTAGCTCTAAAACTGAACTGGCCTAAAATTTTCATTGATTACCTTAGCTCAATCTTATATCTAGAAGAAATAATGCTAGTCTAGGAGGCAGTATCAAGAGGCATATATGAAACAGAAAATGGACATCCTGAAGTTACATGACGTGCAAATTGCACTAATAAGAATAAATTCTGACATCAGCTAGGAGTTCATCAACTCAAAATGAAGAAAAGACTTGCATATTTACAACAGGGATTATAAGGGTTATCTGCAACAGCAGATCAGATTTGATCGCATGTGATTTCTATTCCTTTGACATATGACAGAATGACTGTGTCTAACATAACAGAATTAGGACAGTATTGCTCACAAAAGGGATACAAAGCTCTAATGCTTTTCGAATCATTAGTGCTTACAAGGAAGACAATAGAAAGGGGACCATACGAATTAGATGTAAGGTATAGGTAAGTCAAGAAAAGACTCGTATTTGGAATCTGTAAGATAGCTATTTGTCAAAGTGATCACCATATAGAGGTATGTCTAGAGGATACATATTTTTTGAGATAAAGTTAATTAGCTTTGATCATGTGTCCTCTGCATGTAAAATTGCAGACATGAAGTTTTGCATCATAAACCTATTTATCAAAAAGTCATAATCAGTCAAAACTTTCCAAAAAGCTCAAAAACATGTTTTTTTTTATATATGCTTTTATACATGTCAAATTGCAGTTTTACCAAACTACTGCAACTGATATATAACTGTTGCAATATATATTACAGTCTTAGCATATATATCTCAATAGATTTACCTCAGCAAATTTTGTTTCCAATTCAAAATTACGTTCTTCTACTTCCTTTAAAGTATTCCTTAAATGTTCATACATTCGTTGTGAATGTTCTGCTCTTTGTCTTTCATTTAATTCCTTCATTTCCAACATTGTGATTTTCTTAGAAATGGACAAAATCTCACTGTTCGTTATAGCTTTTGTGGCCTTGTCTGTTGCACTGTCATCCCCTATATTCAAAAACATTTAAATTAAGGATTACACAAGCTGATCCAATTATGAAAATGTACACCATGAAATGGAATATGAATTTGTTTCTGTCAGATAAACTTTATTGAAACATCTAGATTATTTCTTAAACTGTAGGGCTGGATATTGAAATAGTCTTGCCTTATTACGAGCTTGAAAAAAAATCTATTTTGAAAAAGAAATCATAATTTATTAGTGATGGATATTATTGCAAACACAGTTATAAAGACAGGTAACTGTTTTTCACTTTATACTTATTCATGTGGTAAAATTTTATTTAACATTATTCAAAGATTATTCAAATTATTCAAAAAACAGAAGATGCATCCTTGCAAAGTTCCAGTTTTGAAACCCATGACCCAGTCAATTGAGGAAAGTATTAAACTTTGTTTTGATGGGAGAGCTAAGAGGAACCAAAAATGGATATATTGTTTTGTTTTTCTTTTTGTTGTTTTCCCACAAATACATACATCACTTTCAAAATGTGGCAAAAAAAATGCATAAAGGACATACCATTTCTTCTTTAATGTTGCAAAATAACTTTCATACTTGCCCATTTTAGCCAGTTGTTCCCAAGCCTGCTCTGCCGTGTGAAGTTTTTCTTTTGTAATTTCCAGCTCTTTATTCAATGAATCAATCTGTGCTTTCAAGGATTCATTTTCCCTCTGTATGATAAGGAAGTTACAATGTAACAACAAACTATAGAGGATTTGACATTTACTATCTACAAAAACTTTTAAAGTTAGCATATTTTACCTATGCATAATCCACTAACCTACAAATACAGAAATATAATACCACAGATCTTCTAAGAGGCAAAATGTTAATCTTTGCTCTCTAGAGATAGTTTCTATCAATCAGTATTAACATGAAAATCTATCATCACAGTGACCATGATTCCCAGAGTGTCTAGAATTAAAGAAATCTAGGTACAATGCCAAACATTGGTTTTGTAAACGTTCCTTCTCTCTTCCAAATAGGAGTACAAAAATCCATATTAACCATAAAGCAAAAGAAATTCCTCATAATAATTTTGATTTTTCTAAGCACACATCTCACTCTATTGAGAAATGATTCTTTAGCTCCATGAACCTGCTGAAGAAGTCAAAGCAAGTATCCACAGACACAACGCCCCATAAAACAAATTGAAAAAGGAATCACTCATTCTTTAAACACCAGTGAATCTGACATTTTCAAGACAAGTGCATGTAATGATTCAGCACATCTATTCAGCACTAGACATTTAACTTTGGCTATCCACAGACAGCCCAATAGATAACATGACATTTCTCTTAACTGCTTCTTTTTTCTAGGATTCTTATTTCTGATATGAACAAAGGGAGGAGTTAATAACAGATATCTGAAGCCAGCTTCACGTATCTTGAAAAGAAACTCCCTTCTACTCTAGAATAAAAGCTCATAGGAATAATGTCTCTTTTTAAAGTCCCTATAACATAATAAACATTTATTCCATCATTCTGCAATCATACTGCAAATCAAAGAACTAAACATATTTTGTGAAGCAACATATCCAGATTTAAGCAAAAAAGCCAAATTAAAAACGAATAAACAAACCTTTTTGCATGCCTACTGAAATGAAGATAATGAAGGTAAGAAAATGAATATAGCAACAGCAATATTAAGATCCATCTGCATCATTATTTTATCTTATTTTAGCTTCCCATTTTCTTTTTTAAGAAAATATCATATCCTCAACAGGCCCACATCAAAAACAGCAGCTTGTTAAAAGCTCGACAGGAAAATTCCTGTCTAAATTTAAGCTCCAAGATCAGCTCTCTCCCTTTTCTTTTTACCTGTTTCTAATGACTCTCTCCTGCTGCAGAACGATTATTAATACTAGCAGTTCTAGCACTGGGACGTCTGTGCTTAAGTGAGGATGAGGAACAATGCAGGATGAATGCAAAATGACACTTTTTCCCCTTAAGGCTCAAGCATAACAAACATTACCTCCATATGTTCCATATTTGAGGTTCGCTGGACGAGCAAGTTATCTTTTTGCAATGTATCTCTGTATTTTGCAGTTAGCGCGTTGTACTGCTTATTAGCCAGTTCTAGCTCAGACAGTGGCACACAACCATCTAATACTTTTTGCAGAGCTGCAATCTTAAAGCTAGCCATTTCCTATGAAAATAATCAATACACGGGGTTACTGAGGTATGCTAAATCTTTAAAGTGAAATACTGAAAATACTCTTTGGAACAAAAGATTATCAGTTAATACATTGTTTTAAATACCGAATTACTTGATGTTTAGCTTTATCAGCTGCTTGCAATAAACAGCCACAAATTTTCTCTAGTACGCCAACTCTCTTAGTAATTTTATCAAGAGCTCCCTCTAGATGACTAATGTTATTAGTCAAAAATATATCTTATAAACCTTAGTTAATACAAGCCTTACATACCTGAAAAGTCAAAGAGTGAGACTGCTTTCATACAATACACAGTTAAAAAGAAATAAATAAAAAGATGTTGAAAGAGCATCAGAGGGGACAATCAACGAGCTTCCCATTATGATATTTATTTATATTTAAGGAATGCTTTGAGAAATTTTGTTAACAGCATTTAACTGGCATTCTGTAAAGGCTAACCAGACTGTAAAAGCAAAAATCTGTCTTACTAAACATACCTTGAACCGTTGCAAGTGTCCAATTTTCCCTGTAACTGTGCTCTCTATATGCGTTATTTCACCCTTTAGCTTCTCATTTTCTTTTCTAAGATGTTGTTCCACTTCAAGTAAGGTGGTACATTGCCTTGTTAATGACCTTTCATTAACTCGCAAGACAGTTATTTTTCTATTATTTTCTGCGAGTAATTTTTTTGTTTCATTGGGATCCATCTGAAGCGCATTGAGTAAATTCTGTAAAATATATATATATATATATATTTTAAAAGAGATTTGTACAGAAACACAGTAAAACTACAAAGACCACAGCAGCAGGTTCATTAGTGCATTGGCAGTGCAGGGTGCAGCAATTACAGACCTCAGGCGTGTGGAGAGTGAGGTGCTTTCTTACAAGCACATGGATTAGCACACTGCAAGGAAGGACACAGCTATACATAAAGATAGAGCATCCCCATCTGCAACAGGAGGCGTGTCTAAGTAGGGCAACCCACACATCCGAGTGAGGGTGTGTTTGTTTGTAAGCAGAAGGGACGGGAGGGTATGAATATAACTCTGGAAATGTGAGTCCATGAGGTGAGAATGACTTGGAATTAGTCACAGAGATGTTCAGAAATTTGTATGGGTATATTAACATTTTGTAAGTATCTAGTATTGTGTTTTTTCTTTGGTATGGCTACTATCGTTTCTGAACTTCTGAAAGTTCACTGATTTCTGACTAATTATCTGTCATTAATAAATCAATAAGTCTCTTTATTTCCGATTTGATTGAGGTTGAACAGTACTTTCCCCTTTTAACAAATTACACCACAGCATTAAAGCCTCTATTTTGTTTCTGTAATAAAACCAAGAAAGTAAAAAAAGCACTCACAGAATATTCCTTTATTTTTGTAGCATCCTGTTCTTTTTGTTCTTCTAACTTCTTCTTTTCCTCTTTCAATTCTTCAGACACTTTATGCCAGCTTTCCTTTTCACTATCATAGTAATTAAATATTTTAATTTAGAATAAACACTTGATAATTTTAAAAACTGTAACTAAAACAATACCCCCTAAAATACTGTAGACTGTAGATTTTTATTGATCACAATAATGTAATTGTAAAAAGACATATTTTTTTCAGTTACCCATCTACAGTTTATCTCAATTGTTTAGGCTGCAGCTGGTTTAATTCTTAAAAATAAATGTTTCTGAGTACTGTGGAAAGCTAAGGTCAATCACAAAGACAGGAAGTAAGTCTGTAGAAGCAAAATGTTTTATCTCTCCTCCAGGTGTGTAGTACTAGGAAGAGAAAGTGACACCTCACTCCAAAGAATATCAGCATAAGGGATTTAATATGCTTTAAACTATAAATAATGGGATTTTAGACAAATTTCTTTCTGGACTATCTCTTTGAAAAAAAAATAACCAACAAAAACCTAACAATCTAGTGCCTGAAAAACCCAAACCATCAGATTCAACCTTACGGTTTTAACAGATGAAAAGTGGTATAAGGAATTTTGAGCTGTAAAACATACAGAAATTCAGCCTGACAAGTAAAAAAAGCACAAAGAGAAAGCCTGAATATCTGGAATCCTGAAACAGATCTCTGACCTCTGTTTCAACAATATATATATTTTTTTCAAACCCAAAAGAACCGCTAGGAACCTACTTGAAATCCAAACAAAATGAGACTGAAGAATCCATAATATTATATCCTAATAAAATATGGGATATCAGCTTTAAAAAGCACAATATAATCCCTGTTCTTCAACATATTATCATGTCTTCAAAATTATTAGACATTTACATATTCAAGGTTTCCTTACACGGAACATACAATACCTGTGATATTCTTTATACAGCAAGCCTTGCTGATGACGAATTACTGCAAATTTTCGTTTATAGTCCTCTACTGCTTCTTCAAATTGCTTAAGTAAGACTTCTTTACTTTCTAGTTCCTAAAGATTGTTTTCAGAATAAAGAATATTAAGTGAAATATGAAATTTTGAATTCATATGAAATAAAATATGAATTTTTCATCAAAATTACACTTTTTCCTGTGTGTTTTTACATGAATTATTTGTGCCATTAGGGTCTGAGAACTGCTCACATGAAATATGTTTCTATAGAAGCAATAGGTAGGTAAAGCCATATTAGTATGCATTCATATTAATAACTGCAAAAGAGTGCAAAACTGCTTTGTGAATTACAGCCCCAAAATGCTGAATACACCATATTTGACATGTTAGCCAAAAATTGTAGTCTCCAAAGAATACTACTTGAACATTTAATTGGAAAGTGGTGTCTTCTCATGTTCACAAACACTCTTATATGCCATATACAGTTGAAAAATATTCTCTAGTAAACAAAAGTCATCAGAAATACAGAATAAAAATAAAAATGTGTACTAGGTAAGTATTTCAAAGAAATTATAGCTTGAAAAAAATATATAAGCCAAAGAAGTCAGTGTTTTATAACAGAAAAGTTTTGGAGAACTCTATCATGTCCATATGTGGCATGGGACTAGAATTTAGAATATGTTATATACCACAAATAATCAAAGCGTAAATGACTTACCTGTAGGAGATGTATTAAATATTCATTCAGAGAATTAATCATACTAACACTTGAAGAAGCCATTCCTTCTGGAAGATTTACTGTTCTGAAGACAACACTGGCACCTTCTGATTGACGTAATAAGCAAACTTCATTTTTAAGTTGTGCAATCTAAAAAAAAACGACAACTGAAAGTAGAATCATAGAATCCTTAAGGTTGGACGGGACCTCCAGGGATCATCTAGTCCACACACGCAGGGTCACCCAGAGCACGTGGCACAGGGCTGGGTCCAGGCGGGCCTTGGAGATCTCCAGAGAAGGAGACTCCACAGCCTCTCTGGGCAGCCTGTTCCCGTGCTCCATCACCCTCACTGCTAATACATTTTGCCTAGTTGTTTTTGTTGTTCAGTAAGAAAATACTGATGAAAAATATATGGTTTCTTACACAGTATCAGTTGTAATCAACAGACTAATTTACTTCCATTTATATCCTGGATCACTCAGATACTCCTTGAAGTGCCTTTTCTGTTTTCTGTGATTCCACAAAGAACTAAATACATAATACCTTAAGCCAAGCAATCAGGACAGCATCGCATTCTTGATGACTCATCATGTTTCACTCCAGATTACTTACAGAATATTGCCTTTCTATTTCTTCACAAGTGAATAAGTTTTGGATAGAATTATTGCAACAATTATTTCATGGTTTACTCTGAATAAATCATTGTCTTTTCATGTTAAGCTTTTAAAAGCTCTTTAACTCCTTTCTCTAAAATTACATCAAATAATACTGCACACTCTAAAAAAACAACAAAAAAGTTGGACTCTGGACAACCAACCAGGAACCATTAAAGAACAATTAATCTCTATTGATTTATCCGCTTAAAAATAAGAAAGCAAGACTACTGCTTTTTCTTGTTTCTTTTAAGACAAGGAAATCTGTAAGCATTTTTTAGCACGTTGCTCTCCTAAAGAGAGTCACGCTTAGTTTTCAACATGATAGCAAAGTGAGCATATTTTTCTATGGATAAAACAACATTAGGAAGAGTAAGATTTTCGAAGTTAAAATTAACAAACCTGTAAATCCAACATAAACATTAAGATTTGTAGAGGTACACCTCTCATGTAATACAAATCCAGTATCTCATACATTATGCTTTTGTTCAAAATCATCACCACAGCCACTTTTCAAATACAAAATAAATTCTATACCTTTTCATTTGCATTTGCCAACTGATTGGAGAAATCTGTTGCCTCCTTCCGTGTCTGTTTCAGTTCCTGCCTTAATTCTTCATTCCGTCCTGTAAGCTGGTCAACCTGAGCTTTCAAGTGCACACTAACATCAAAGATTCCCTCTGCATTCTTTGATTCAATTGCCTAATACAGTAAACAATTAACAAAAAGGAGCAAAAAATGCAAAAAAAAAATGTGTTTTTCATAACAGAATGCAGGTCTCCAGCTTAATCTACATGAAGTTTCATGAAAAATGCATGAAATTTTAGTTTGTTTTGTCTACTTACAAGTTTTATGACAATATATACACTGGACACTCCAATTTAAATAATTTAAATAATCTATTTTTTTTCAGTAAGACTTAGGAAGTTATTTTTCTTAAACATTTATTGCAGATCCAACACAGATACAACAAAGGTAGATGAACTTTTTCCTAAACTTTACGTCTGGAATATTAACTTGCCTAGCATGCTTTTATATTACCTAGTTAGAGAACATACACATGTACTTCTTTGTTGGTGATCTATTTTTGTTGCTGTAGTATATATTTCTTTGCATTTTTTACATGGTGTCAAAGGACACATTCACACCCACATAAATAAAGAGGTATATTGAGCTACTATTGAGCTAAAAGTAACTCAGAGTACTTAAATATCAAAAAAAAAGGAAAATCAAAAATCCTCTATTGCCAAATAACGCATGATAATGTAAGCTTACATTAACCAAACGATCCAGACTTGGGATTATTAAGGCTGTTTCTCCTCCCTTCATACCGGGATCCTTCTGTATTTCCTTGAGAGCTTGTAATATTTCTTTCATTCCTTGTTCAAGATGTTTATTCTCTTCTGATAATTCTTTTACTGTAATTAAAAAATACTGTAATTAAAAAGTAAATAAATAAAAGTCCCCTACTTTTTTAAAAATTTGCAACTTACATTTCGATTGAAATTTGACAATTACAGTCCTGTTTTTTTCCAGATCTCTCTCTCTCTCACTTAACTCATTTGTAAGATACTCATTCTAAAGAAAAAAAGAAAAGAAAAAATTATCCAGTTTAAAAACTGTAATTTAGGAATACTAGTATTAGAACTCTCATTAAGTCTAAGGTTAAGAATTTCCCTTTTTAAATAAAAGTAATTGCTAGAAAATATTATTAATCCATATGTAGTCAAAACACATAGTGAAATTATGTAGTATATAAAGCAAAATGAGAGAACTAAGTGTGAAGTAATATGAAAAAATATAGAAGTTAACTATCAAGCAATCTCATTTTTACAGCAACAAAATCATCCAAAAGAAGTAGTGAATAAACATTTACCCTCTTATCATAAATTTGGTTTAAAATCTTGCACTACCTGCACTGCCTGGCTTCTGCATCTTTCAAGGTTTAATTCTGTGTTTCTATTTAGCATATTCTGGGCCAACAAATCTCTGGATATTTGCTCATTCTGAAGAAACAGCAAAATATCAATACTTTTACTCAAAGTTGTATTTCCAAAATCTATGCTCTATAATAAGTTTTAAAAAATTCTTTTTGTATACTGAAAATGTAGTAAGCACTATTTACTCTGTAGCTTGGTTAGCACACTATTTTAAAAGGAGTAAGTACAAAAAGCATATTCCCAAACCATGAAAAATAAAATGCAAACAGACATGTAAAATCCTCTGATCATCCTCAAATGGAGGAATTTTTGCAATCTCATAAAATTCCATCAGTCATAAGGCATTTCAGTTAAAGACTAAAAACATCATGGTTACAGAAAGCAGATTATAAACAAACAAAGGACATGATGAAGAAATACTTTTTGTTTCTTCCAGACAGATTCTCTAGTTCCATTCAAAATGTTATTTTAGTCATCTAATCCTACTTAGAAACTTCGCAGTCTAAATATGGATTCTCCTACCCCAAATGCAACAGCATCAGAGATGGATTAACTGGAATAATTACTTAAGGTAGATCCCATGTAACAGTGTCTGGTGAAATATGTATTCAAATTTCATGATGCAGTTGGAACAGCAATTTAAGACACCCACATGGTTGCACAGACTCTCTAAATATTTCAGAGGTTCATTTAATTCAAGCCCTAAATATGTCTCTAGCAACTAAAACAATGTCCTACACTATACCAAAAATTGGAACAGTATCCCAAGGTACCAGTTTAAAAAGCTAACAGTATTTTTTTAGTATGATTTACCACATGAATAAAGGAAAACACAAGCATTTTTCATTTGATTTTTTTTGTTCTGAAAACAGATCCTATATTTATCTTTGTCATTTTGCAGGGCCGTATTCACTTCATTCAAGCAACTACTGTTGTTACACGACATGTCTCTGGATATTTAAAATATTTTAAAACAAGTTTTCCTCAAACCAGGTTCCTGTTTAAAATATCACTGTGAAAATTTGACTTTGCATGAGATGCAAATTATGGGGAATAAAATAAGTATTTTGTTCATGCAGATACCCACAAATTTACAGAATAAATCAGTTCTATTCAGCATAAGAGGGATGTGGAGCTGCTGGAGAGAGTCCAGCACAGGGCTACAAGGATGATCAGGGGCCTGGAACATCTGCCCTATGAGGAGAGGCTGAGGGAGCTGGGCCTGTTCAGCCTGGAGAAGAGAAGGCTGAGAGGGGATCTGATAAGTACCTCAAGTGAGGCAGTGAGGAGGATGGTGCTGGCCTCTTTTCAGTGATGGCCACCGACAGGACTAGAGGAAATGGCCACAAACACAAACTGAAGCACCAAAAGAAAAAATTTCTTAACAATGAGGGTGACAGAGCCCTGGAACAGGCTGCCCAGAGAGGTTGTGCAGTCTCCTTCTCTGGAGATCTTCAAAACCCACTTGGACGCAGTCCTGTGCCACGTGCTCTAGGTGACCCTGCGTGTGCAGGGGGGTTGGACTAGGTGACCTCGAGAGGTCCCTTCCAACCTTAGTGATTCTATGATTCTATGATTCTATTATCTTGCCCATCTGCATATGTGCAGACACCTGCATTTCACACTTCTTCACAGACAAAATGAAAATGCATGCGTACACATTTTGTTCTATCCTCTGTGGACAAATAGTGACTTGAAGATATTTTTCTTCTAATAATACAATGTGTCATTTCTATTAGAAATATTCTATAACTTTGATTAATGAAGCTGAAGCTAAAGTAATATATTTTTGTCATCTGTTCTAAACACATCTTCTATATAATCACAATAGTTAAGCACACATTGTATTAAAAAGGTGCCTCACCTGTGATCTAAGAAAGGCTATTTCTCTCCTCAGTTGCTCTATGAGATTCTCAACAGGATCTACCTGACCTGAGTGTGCAGTTTCAAGTCCACTTTCCATAGTCTTTACCTGCAATGATTCTGTTAGGCATTTCTCTCCTTCTCTGTCTTCTTGAAAGTCAACTTGGAAATCAGAAAGCTTTAATTGAGAACAATCCTTCCACATCATTATTTGTGATTTATACTGTATTTCTGGCTTTGCAAGAACAGATTCACAAAAAAAGCCAGACTTTTGGCTAAGAGATATCCCTACAAAAACATCTCCTGGACTTGTTTGATCTGAATTAGAAGTTATGGATATCCAATTCTGAAAAGATGCTGTGTTTCCATGATTCTGTTTTTTCGCCTCTGAGGTCTGCCCCACTCTCTGAGAAGCAGAAAATGCACCTGTACAGTCTGATTTTATGGTTTTCGATGTCTCCCTATTGACAGTAGAATCTTTTATTCCTGATGCCTGTGTAAATTGTGGTTCTGGTGAGATAAAAATCTCTTTTATACTAAGAGCTTCAGAATCACTGTTGTCATTTTCTGGTTGCAACGCTGTCACGCTTTTTGAACCTAACTGAAGCAAAGATGTATTCCTAGTTTCTTCCACGTCATCAGTATTCTGAAGTGTTCCAAAAATTCTTATAGACAGATTACTGTTTTCAGCTATATCTTTCTCTGACTTCAAAAGGCTAACTGATGCTCCTCTATCTGTAAATGTGTTTTTCCTTTCCATGTCATACGACCTGCTAGCCTGTATTCACAGAAAAATAAACAATGTTCATTAGCATTCCAAAAACTTTATGAATGATTACTTTAGGATTTTAAAAAATAATAAAACTAATAAAATATTCGGAGAAATAGGCAAGCAAACTTTAACAAACTAATAGCATTTTTTAAACAGATATACAATTAATGATTATGTACTTGCTCTATGAACCTACCTTTGCTTTTACTTCAGCAAGATTATCTGTGTTTAAGAAATCCAACTTCCCTTTATTTGTCCACTTTTCCTCAGCACAGCTGTCATTAATCTGCATATCTCCAGCATCCAAGCCTAATCACAAATAAATGAACAAGTAATGTGATTATTTAAAAAAAAAAAAATGGCCTCCAAAGAAGGGAATATATTTTAAGTCGTCGATCCAAGTTTTAGATTTCTACTTGTGTAGTAAGGCATTGTAAAGCAGCTCATCTGGGAGAGTGGTATTTCCCTGAGTGGTACAAAATTGAAATTCCAATTTTTTTTTTGACACATACCCACTATACAGATTTAGTGCAAATCCTGGCTAGAGCATTCTCTACCTAAGAACTTCAAGCCAATGGCACGACTCTTAGCGATGCTCTTACTAAACATCAAAAGACAGAAAGTTGCTGATCTTTAAGATAATGGAAATACGAAGGCACTCATTTCTCTACAGACTCAGTGAAAAATGTTTTGCCTTGTAATTTACTCACATCAGAAAACGTAACATAGTTGAACAAATAAACTTAGACATAATGGTTTTGAAAAAACAGCATTTACATAAAAAAAAGAAATCCTACCTGACGTTGCAGCTATTTTTCCTTTCTCTTGGGCCAGACTACGAATCTGTTTTTTCAGTTCAATTCGTTCCTCTTCCAGTCTTTCAATCTGCATATCATTATTCTCAGATCAGTATTAAATTTTGTTCAAATACATTTTTAACACCCTTACATAGAAATAGGATTCATCACTTGCCTCTTTCAAAAGAATTTGGTTTTCAGCTCTATACTGCTGCTGTTTTAGAGTTCTGCTGTTTCTTAATTCATTTAAATCAATCATTGTCTTGGGCTCAAGACCTGAAACACAGTATATGCTCTATAAGAAATTATTAAAAAGAACACTAAAATTAGAGTTACTGGGTATTAGTACGTAATGCATTTACATAAGAATGCAGGTCGTCAAATCAAATTAAAAAAAATATATGCTGAACAATGCATATTACACATATACACCTTATATACATAGCGTATATATGTACACTCATTGCACTGTACACAATAATTAAGAGCACGCTTTTACTCTAACTACTCAAAAAACAAAATGTAATAAAAAGTTTCATAAAATTAAGTATGTTTTTTTTCTGTAGAACCTAAACACAAATAACCCTTCCAAACTTTCTTCCACATTTTTCCATCTAGCATTAGGTGTTTTGGTTTCAAATTACTATAATAGGAACTGAATTAAGCAGCGTACAAAGAGCAATCAAAACTACAAAAGCCCTGTAAACCCTATTTTACTGCTCTTCTCAGTCAAAACGTTAGCCAACATTAGTTATGTGCTGTCATGCAGTTTATCTGAACTAAAAAAGACTACCTGCAAATATTAGCATAATGTACGAAATCATTTTCAAGTAGTATAGCAAAAGATTTCCACTGATTTTATTTCAATTTTCATACAATAAATAATTGTATGCTTAACACATATAGCATACCTAAACGTTCTCTCAATTCTTCATTTTCATCTAGAAAATCATTTATTTTAAGTTCAAGCTTATTGACTTCCTTAATTAATATTTCAATCTCATGATCTCGTATTTTGGTTTGCTTTTTTAAATCTTTTATTTCAGCAACAGCTTCTTCCAAACCATATATTCCCTGCAAAAATCCAAATGGGAATTAAAAAGAAAACAACAAACTAACATGTAAGCAAATACATTACAAATCTATGTTTCATCATTATTGAGGACAGTAATTGAAAATAATATTAACGAGTTTAGTAACCAACTGCTGTGATTCAAAATTTATACTAACCAACTTAGAAAAACTGTGATACAGAACAGAAAGACAATAGTCAAGTGAAGAGATTGTTTCAGAAAATTATCGGGATTAAAATTAGTTCATGCTCTTGATGGGCCTGACTCCATGTCCACTAAAGTATATTACTTCTTTTGACTATGGAATTTGGTACTTTCTAATTACAGCATCCATCTTTTCATGCAAAGTTTTCAGGAAAACATGTTATACTTGTCCTTTTTCATCATTGTATTAAACAGTACCAGGACACTGAACCTTAGTGAATTCAGAGCTGGAAACTTTAACAATTATGCCACTTTTTGTATGATATCCAACTGTCCAAGCTAGTTTTTGAGAAATGTGATTATATCTTAATGAATCTACTTTTTACATCAATAAATTGTTATATCTTTAACAACAAAACCATTTCAGGCTATATTTCTACAGTGTTTAGAGTGAAAAGAGTCACTGCATAAATGTAGACACTACAAAACTGTTTTTTCTCTTCATAGTACTGATCATACTGAGTGCTTTATGAATAGTTGACTCAAATATGGTTACTGAAAAAGAGAAATATCAGAGGGCAATAAAAGTTAAATGGATGTTTTTTTAATAGGAAAAAAGAAAACCTACTAGGTGTATATAATCTGGATATTAATCATACATTAAACTTTGCAAAGATGAACTTAGGCATATTATATATATATTTTTAACTAAGTACCACTGCATTTTATTTTAAACTGATTTTCTCCATGTGTTTCAAAATAGAGTCTTCATATGTTACACTGCAACCATTCAATGGATAATCATCTTGACTGTACAATTACTATTAATCCACAGGCCCATATGAACAGGCTAAAACTGACAAGTTGTATGTAATCATACACCACTAAAGGTGTAATCAGAGAAAAAGCAGCATTTGTTTAATTTCCAATTAGAAGACAGTCTACAAAGTTATCTGCTAAAAATATGATGAAATGCCCTACACACTGCGACAAATCATTTACCATTTCATAGTCTCTCATTCGTTTCAGAGCTTCAATGAGTTCTTTGTCCTTTTCTCTGGCATCTGCTTCTGCTAACTCTGCTGATTTCTCAGCCTCCTTAGTTCTCTCTTCTAGAAGTTTTAACTTTTCTTGCATTTCTCCAATACGATTCTGCTGAGCAAGAGATGAAAGACCTGGGAAAAAAAAAAAAAAAAAAAAAAAAAGCCTTGATCTATTTATATTTAAAACAAAAATTTCTCACTATCAAAATCAAGCACAGGAAAAACTACATTTCAGGGGCTATTATAAGGAGATTTACACTTTCTGCTCTTTTAATTAGGTATTACCAAATACTTCAGATATGAGCTTTAATTACTATTTATAATATTATTTTATATTATAACATTAAGTTAAATATTATATTATTGTATTTACATTCTTACTGAAGTACTGTGAAAGAATATAATCAAATAACTCCAAATATTTTCAGTATTTATAAAGAATAATGAAAAGACACAGTAAACTGGTGCTTTTTAGTTTTCCCCGTTACCTTTATCTTTTTGTAGTTCATTTTTCAATTCCTCAATAATCAATGCATTTTTTTCCATTTCTTTAGTATATTGTTCAACTTGCTCAGTAAGCAATCTTATCTGAGCATCTCGCTCTTGCACACCCTACCAATAAATAAATAAAACAAAATAAAATGAACAAAAAAATTCCATTATTCTTTACTGAAAACCACTAAGAGTACAACACATTTCTTCTAAGCTAAATCTAAAAAAAAAGAAAAAAGCTAATATACAAGAATTACAGTAAAAAAGCAAATATATTGTACTTACAACATACAGTTCTGATATTATCTAGAAGTTGGGTATAAAAAGGCAAAGCAGCAAAAATGAAAGAAAAATAGTAAAAATAATGTGATTCTATTTTTGAATGCTTTAAGGCAGTGTTTTAATATAGCAATTTTTGATGGAACCATTCTGTAAATCAGAGCTAAGCAAGTGCATCGTACAATTTCAGGCTATATGGATTTCTTAAGGCTTCCCAATCAACAATTGTTGGTGGGAACTGAGATACACAAATTCAAGGTCAGAAAGACAAATACACGTGACTTCTCACATCTTTATTGCAGGACTGCCTTTCAGCAAGTTATCTAACTTTTAAGTATTTCTACATCATCTTGTGCTCCATGCATACACAAATATAAATAGATACAGATTGTGGTTACAGATTTCTGAGCCTATATGGGAGCTTGGGAAATATTATAGGGTGCCTGATGATATTTTTCCTGTAATAAAACAGCATAGAAAAAACAAAGAGAGACTTGGAGGGAAAAATACTTTCTGTGAAGTTGTAAAGCTACAGAAAATAAACACAATTTAAAATTCTCAAAAGCAGGTTAGACTTTCTTGGAGTACAAACATAACCATACCAACCTCATACCATACCAAACTAAATCTAAAAAGGTTCTAACAACATAAAGAAGTAAAACAACCCTTTAGAATGCAAACACACATTATACTTCAATACCCTTTGGTCCATTTTGAATGGATAATGCAGTAACCTATGTTAAATATTTTGTTTAAAAAAATGTGCTTATTTCCACAACTCTAAGTGGCATATTAATGACCGTCATCCAAAAAAACAATTTCTACAGACATACAGACAGCTAAAAATGGACTTTACTACTGTTTGTAAGAGCTGAATTTCAGCTGTTTTCCTATTATGATAATCGAGCCTGTTTTGTAGGGTTTTTTTTTTCCTCCTACCTACTAGCTCTTAGTTTTGGAATAAATTTATCTCACCATACTGCTCCGTCTAGAAAGGCTCCAACACATCACCATTACATATCTATTCAAAACCACAAAGCCAGTTAGGAAATCATCCTGGAGTCATTAAACTATGTTTTCCACTACCTGTATTTCAGGGTTCCTAATGGCTTTCTTCCTCTAATAAAGTTTTTAAACATTAAAATAGGGAAACTCAAAATTTTAAACAACTGTGCTAACTATGAATTAAATTAAGGGGTACTTAAATTCACTTAGCTCTATACTGGGCTGAATCAGAGGCTTAGTAGTTTGCCATAGGTGAAAAAGAAACACATCAGATTAACTACTAATTAAGAGTTATAACTTCTCCATGACAAAAAGTCATAAACTAATATATAATTTAACATTAAATACAGTATGCTTAGAAGTTAAAAGAACGATTCTTCTAACCATTAGATAGGATAAACATGAAACTAACAAAAACAGCCACAAAAAGTTCAGTTTATACCCACAAAGAAATTCAGTTTCTCTCTACCCAGGATATTAAACTAACCTTGCAGCAGAATAACTCAGCTAGTTTCACAATTCTCAAAATCAGTAACATGTATACTCTGATATTTGCAAAACAAAAAACCTGAATAATGAATCTGGTCAATAGCATTCTTCACAAATGATATTTTATACATGTTCATGTGTGGTACTCATGCGAACAATACCTGCTGAAGGGCCATAACATTGTTTCTGTCAACATCAAGTTGGGCCATTTTCATTTTTTCTTTTAAGTTAAACAACATCTGCTGATACTCTAAAAGTTCATCATCTTTTGAAGCCAAGATTTTCTGCAAACAAGCAAAGTATCATCAGAACACTTTAAATAATTCCTGAGAGGAATTAAAAGTGTAGTATAAAGTAGCCAAATATATCACAAAGTACCTTCCATTCTTCAACTTTTGCATTTACTGCTGCCATGAGTGGATCATCTTCTTCATTCTTTGCCTTCAGCTGATCTGAAAGCTCCTGAACCTATAAAAGCCATTCTGATCAACATCATATCATAGAAATGTTTTGTTTAACAATTGAATGGGTATAAACACACGGCCTCTGGTACATACAACTTAACAATTAGCATTGTAGCAGCAAGGTTATGACTCTGAGAACAGTAAGACTAACATTTTGTATGAAAGTATTTTGTAATTTGCTAACAATGCTTAATACTTCCATCAAGATTCACAGTAGAGCATGTGTTCAAAAACTGAATATTGAAAAACAAAAAGAACACACAGAATTATAACATCTCTAATAAGTCACTTCTTACTTGAAATTTATATTGTTCTTTCTCCTTTCTTAACTGATCCATAAGAATATCTGACTGTTGCACAATCAGTTTCATTTTGTTATATTCATCAGTCATCTTCTCCATTTCTTGTACGGATTCCTCAAGATTCCTTCTCATTTCTTGGTTTTGAATATCTAGTTTCTCATTAGTTTCAGTCAAGCTCTACAAAATTCAAAAATTCAAGAAAAAGCTGTTTTTAAAAAATGCACTTCTTATTACCTGAATAACCAGCAGCTGACAGCTACATTAAATTTAAGACGTGAAAACATAAGAAATGGAGGGAAAAACAGGCAGTTTTGCACCTCTGAATCACCAAATTCAACAAATTCCAACAGCTGTACATTAGAGGTTAATTCTAAAACAGATATCCCTCACTGACCAAGTCAATGACTTGGTTCCTTCAGATACACAGAAGCACAGTTCATGCGCCACACAACCCACTAGCACTATGAATTCCATTATTTGAGTGAATTTAACTATAAGCTGACATAATTGTTGCCAGTAACAGTGTAATAAATATGCAATATAATAGATTTTACCTGAATCTCATCCAAATACTGGACAAGCTCAAAGTTCTTTTTGGACAATTGCGATCTGTAATCAGAATTATCTCTTCTTGACAAAATCGTTTCTTTTTGAGAATCTATTTGTCTCTGATAGTCAATTACATCCTGACGCAACTGTTCATTCTGCCCAGAAAACAATCAAAAATTAAATCTATTTTAAAGTGTTTAAACTATGTGCATGCTTTTTTTTTCTAGTAAGCTAACAAAAAGTGCTAACACAAAGAGCAAAGTCTATCCAAATTCCTACAGTTTGCTTTTAAATACTTAGAAGCCTCACCTTTTTCTTTATTCTTTTTGTCTTTGGATTAAAAAGGAGAGAACAAAATCAAGAGAAGAAAGTATTAAAAGTATTAGAAGTTATCTTTGCTTTAGGAAAAATGAACAGGATTCAAAATAAAACAGAAACAGGCAAAATAAAACAGAATGTTTTACATACCTGCGTGCATACACATGCGCACACACACACACACATTAGAAGGATAAAACGGCGCGTTTAAGAAGTGCTTTTCAAGGTGTATACCAGGACAAAAATTTTGACTTTTGCTGCCAATCTGCCAATCTTAGTCTGCCAGAGGCCAAGAAAAGTACAAGTGTTGAAGGTTTAAATGGCAACTAAAAAATCTTACATTAACTTTTGACTTTTCGTAATAATTTTATTTTAACCCATCGGGCAATCTAAGCGAAAGCTGCAAGCATAAATCATGTCTTACCTAATATCAATTTGTCAATAATTTAAGAAAAATACTAAAAACTCAGAAAAAAAGCCCACAAAAAATTAACATACAGTATCTTATGAATATCTAGCTTAAATGTAGACAGATCCTGACCTCAGTTAGACAAGTCTCACCAGAGAAAAGTACTATACATTTGCCAAATCTGATTAAAACTTAAAACTTATTTTCTTTGTACCAGGAAAATGAACTACAATAGAATTAAAAGTCATGCAACCCCCAAAACTATTAAATATAGAAGGCTACAAATACGTTTGTAAATACGTTTATAAATAGAGAAAGCTAAAAGTAAATGGATTCAACATCCATGGATTCAACAGCTAATGCATATATAATGCTTCACTAACCTCTCTCCTTAATTTGATGTTTTCATTTTCCGCATCTTCAGTTCGAAGAGCAAGCTAGAAAAACATGAATAAACTTTTTATATGAAGTGCTAATATCATAAGCTACAAAAACAAAGAGCTTCAGAAATAAATCAGAAAATGTCCTATTCCACATTTTTAAACTGTAGAGGATCTTCTCAGAATACCGACCTTTCAAATTGTATTTCACAGCCTTCAGAGCTTTAGAGTTGTCAAACTGAAATCCTTTTTACCTGTTCATTAACTTTCTTCTCCTTTTCCAATTCCTTTTCCATATCCGTTAACTCCCTCTCTTTTTGTCCCAATTGTTTTTCCAGTTGACGGATCTCATCACGCAAAAAACGAGTATCACGACCACCAGCAGATCTAAGTGCCATCTTAAGAGCATTAAAATAGACAGTGTTATAAATATAATACAGATATTTAAAACAGACAGAAATAAGAACCTAAGCAGATCGTAAGACTGGTGTTTAGGAAACGCAGGGCAAGGGCGTGGACAGACAGAGCACAGTAGCTTCTGTCAACTATAACACCAAAAATCAAACATAAAAAAGTACATACAGCTCTGCATACAGCACTTTCCAAACTTGAGGCTGGTAAATATTCAAAAGCCAATAAAAAGAAATAGCTAACTAGTAGTATAACTACTATGTCTCTTTAGTAGAAGCAAAGTTGTCTTCCAATAGAAAAAGAGGGAAATGAGGGTCTGATTCAAAATTCAAGCTTTTGATTAATTTATATTTCAACTGCCTGGCTGAAAATTGAAATTATTAGTAAAAGCACACTTCCTCTCTATTTTTGATAACATATTGTATTAAACTGCAATTGTAAAGAATCACATTAAAACAAAAGAATAGACTCTCAAAACTAACGAAAGTTTAAAACATACCTCTAATTCACTTTCAAGTTTCATCACCTTTGTTTTAAATTGATTTTCTGTTAAAATAAACCAGAAATGCTGAATTACTTCATGAGGTTAAAGGTACCTAAAATACGAACATGATTTGCAATTGACTTCAGTGGGATTGGTATTTTATTCAGTAGTGAGGCAGGGGTTGGTCTCTTCTTCAAAATAACTGCAAGGACAAGATAGGACAAGAGGAAAGACAAGAGGAAATGGTCTAAAGTTGTGCCAGGGGAGGTTCAGGTTATATATTAGGAAAAATTTCTACACCAAAAGAGTGGTAAAGTATTGGAATAGGCTGCCCAAGGAAGTGTGGACTCACCGTCCCTGGCACTGTTCAAGAATCTTGTAGATGAGGAGTTTAGGGACATGGTTTAGCAGCCCTGGTGATGATTGATTTATCATTGGACTCAATGATTTTGAAGGTCTTTACCAACCATAATGATTCTACGCTTTTATTCAGTTCCTTATACACAAAAAACACACCAAATGCATTTAATAAACCAAAAAAAGCTTGCTTACCACATTTGGCTTGCTCTTCTCCAGCTTTTTCAACTTCTTCTAATGCTAGCTCTACCTCTTGAGCTTTCATCTGGGGAAAAAAAAAAGTTAAACACCACCACAAACCTCATGTTCAGGATGCTGAAAACACTTATCAATAATAAAAATATTTTTTCTCTTCAAACAAATGTAACCCCTTACATTGTTTCACTATGGTGATGTTCACATGACAGTTAAGAACTTTACTCTGTTAAAATATCACCTTTATTTTATGGATCTATCTAAACAATCCAAGGTGTATGATTGGGAAAAAACATTTTAAAAAGCCTCTCTAAAAGCAATATGTTACTCTCTGCAGCTTTAATTTCTTGTTTCCAAAATACGTATGAGCAAATACAAGATATCACGAAAAAATTTAAAAAATTGTTTTAAGATGACTCTGTTTCTTCTACACACAGTGACATTTATGCATTTAATATTATTCTAAAACATCACCCTGCCATAAAAACTTTTATATAAGTTAAATCATTACCAGTAATTTATAACATATCCCTTTTTGTATTTGTTTGCATTTTCCACTTAGAAAATTAAACTTCCCAACAGTACAACTATTTTGGTGTTAGTCACTTTATTTCCCATTAGTAAATGTCATAAGCCCAACAGCTGTAAGCAAGAATCCTGGTGCATGTACACATTTAGCACATACCTACTCTGAGTTAATTACTCTAGTAAGCAGTATGTTCAATGCAGGTTAAAAAAGAGCAGCCATGTTTTCTCTTTTATAAAATAAAATAAACACATCCAACTATGGAAGTGTAGGAAGGATACAAACCTTCATTAGTGACTGAGTAATTTTGAAAAGATGTAGCAATTGTTCAGAAGCTTCATTTTTTAAGTCTTTTCCATCAACCTAGGGAAACAGACAGAAGTGTTTGTATATAAATGTTAAATATCAGTGAAATTAAAATAAAATCATTTATTTACGTAGCAGAGTTGGGGGGAAAACGATTAGCAAAACTCTTATGTTCACTGTTTTCTGCTTGAGTACCTTGGATACAGTCTCCAGCAATCTATCTGCTAGTTCCTCTTGATGAGGAAGAGCATCTGGATCAACTTTCATAAGCTTTTTCCAATCTAAGATGGGTGCCATATTGAATTTATAATATTTTTCCTGGAAGAAAAAAAAATTATGCTATCACTGTTGATCAATTTTTCCCCAAATAATGTAATAGCAGCAGGCTAGTGAACCACATAAAAGATATTAAGTAGCTGTATGGATTTTATAACAGAGATTAACATTCTGTTCACATTTTTAAGTTAAAAAATAGATCATGTGCAATCAAAAAAAAATTATAACACAAATACTGAAGATGATGCATGGGAAATCTCTATTTATGTCTTTCTGTAATTGCCAACTTCCTGATGCTTCACTTCTATGTTAACAGATGAACACTTATGCTTACAGCTGGATGTTGAATAGAAATCTCCTTATAGTGATAAAAATCATTACTTCTTGTATTTAAAACACAGCCCCTGCTTTAGTTTGATACTATGCATACGCATTTATTGACATTAATTTCTATGATATTGACCACTCTTTTCATTCTTATTGGAGTACCTGAATCCAAAAAGTTAACAACCTGAAAATGGATGAAAATCTAATCTGAAGGTGATGCAACATTTTGTTCTACAATTTACCTATTGATTGCTGTGGGTCACAATGACTTCCCTTAGGCTTGAAGGTCAACATTATACCTGAAAAAGGCAAAAGAGGACACAAGTCTTGGATTACTACATTTTCCCGAGCCACTGTTATCCCATATAAGCAATATTTCAAAAACTAGATTCTGTCAAGTTTAAAGGGGAACATTTTTAATCTATTTATATATTGCTCTGAATTATAATTATGGCTTTATTTGCTCAGAAAGTTAAGAAAGACATAAAATTGACTAGGACATTTAGTTCATTAATATTAATTTGATTAAGACCCAGCTAATATTAATGAACTAGGTGTTCTAGTCAATTTTATGTCTTTAACTAATATAAAACTATAAACAATATTATAAACTAATGACACAACCGAGATATGGATTTTACAAATAAAAAAATCTCTCATGAGCACAACAATGCCATATGTTGAATATAATGCTTTGATGTCTATTCATCCTACTTGATGGCAACAATAGAAAATAGGTTATTCAGTCAAAATGTGTTTCATGATTAAATAAAACTGATCTCTTCCCCTTGCTGCAGTGTGTGTTTGTTAGATCTGTGTGGTAAGCGGAACAGGTCGTGTTTCTATAAATATATGCATTTCACTTGAGTTATTACAAGACTTCCTTTGCTTACCCAGGAAACCAGGCATATCTAAAATGGACTATGTTTAGAAAGTTCGGCAGGGCAGAAAAAGTGGGAAGCACGGTGGGTGAGTTCACTTTACATGCTCAATGCAGCCTACAATACCCACAGGAAGAGGAGGTAGGTGACTACCCGGACCCCTCAGCTTCATCACAGAGAAATTCAGCAGCGTGAAGAGCAGCCCTTACAGCATGCGTTAAGTGTAACGCCTAAATGCAACGCCAGGGACACCTGAGCAAGAATAAACACTAAATACCAGCACAGCCACCCAGCAGAGCCGCTCCGCTAAACCCGTAGTTGTTTACTTCGTGGGTATTAGCCCAGATTAAGCTACTTCTGATCCGCAAAGGCGGTTATCCAAGCGCAGCTCAGCTGCGCCCCGCCGTA